TACTGCTCTTTCTGGGGCTACTCTACAGACAATTTCACAAATTATCTTCGTATTTGAGTTAAGCAAAAGAAAAAACCTGTGTGATTTTTATATTCAGAAATAGGTGAGGATTATTTTAAAACTTTACAACATGCAATTCCATCCCAAAACAATGATACTATTAGGGATAATCCAGGACATCCAGAGGGCCCATTTTGACACTTTTTTCACCTTTGGTGAACTCTAGCATCTCTTCTGCATCCATGTCTCCATGAGTAATGTTGGAAAACAGTGAAGAACATGTTTTTGACCTATTCTAGTCATGGTGAGTTCTCCTTCTCCTCTCCCCCCTCTGCCTTCAGATGCCTTTTACTGGCACAAGGATGGGCAGCTCTTACACTCACACATGTTTTAGGACTGCTTCAGCTAGTTCTGGAATAGGCAGAGTTCTTCATGGCAGAGTTCTTATTATACTGAGGTGTAGACATCTACTTCACAGACACATCTGTGTTGTTCCTTCTCAGCCATGTGAGATCAAAAGCTATTAACACATAGTTGCTAAGTTTACAAATGAATGCAAATGACTAAAGTGTTTGCTTAAACGAGTATTTCTTTCATACGATTACATAATATTTAATTTTTGCCCTTTTTCATTCATAACTCATGAAAATAGAAGTGAATAAATGCAGAAAAGCTATTAACCTACTTGTCAAGAAAAACTATACGGTGCTTTTGGAGCAAATTGTCTTAAAAGACAATTTACTTTGGGAATATTTTTTTCTATCTGCCTTTGAAGCCAAACATAAGGAATGTAGAGATTGTCTTGTATGGAAAATTTGCCAGATAATTTTGATAATAAAGAGGGAGCATATGGAATCCCCAAAGTCCAGAAGTTATTTTCCCAAATGACTGTGGAGGTGCAAAGCCATGTATGATTCTCCATGTGTAAAAATTCTTTCTGAAAAAGTTGGTGTTTCATTTGGGTAAAATTACCTGAGGGGAAAACTGAGCAGTAGATCCCATGGTTGTGCAGAAGGGAAGGTGACATAAATCCATGCCAAGCTCCCTATTACGATGATCTCTGTTAAAGCCATTTGTCTAGTGTGCAGTCCTACAGGCTGGTCTCTCTATGACATCTGTATGATTTTACCATTTTATTTATCAGTTTATTCAATTCTCTAGCTCTTCACCAACACAGAGAAAGAAAACATTCTTACTTCCTATCTAAAGCATTTTAAAAAGATGGGCTCATTGACAGAGCTTTAAACTAGATTGAAGTGCATGTATACCAATGCACACAGCATAGGTAGCAAACAGGAGGAGCTTGTAGCCGTGATGAAAAAGAAAAATTGTGATGTTGTTGCTATTACTGAAACATGGTGGAATGTCTCCCATGACTGTGGTGTGTCAGTTGATGGTTACAAGCTCTTTAGGAGGGACAGACAAGGGAGAAGAGGCGGTGGGGTGGTGCTGTATGTTAAGGACTGTTATGATTGCTTCGAGCGCAGGAGTAGTGAAGACAGGGTTGAGTGTCTTTGCATTAGAATCAGGGGGAAGGCCAACAGGGCAGATGTTGTAGTAGGAGTCTACTACAGGCCACCCAACCAGGACAGAGAGATGGATGAGATATTTTATAGGCACTTAGGTGAAATCGCATGCCCTTGTTCTTGTGGGTAACTTTAACTTCCCAGACATCTGCTGGAAATACAACATGGCAGAATGAGACCAGTCCTGGAGATTCCTAGAATGTCTGGAAGATAACTTCCTGACACAGCTGGTGAGTGAACCGACCAGAGAAGATGCCCTGCTGGATCTCCTCTTTGTGAACAGAGAAGGACTGGTGGATGATGTGGCAGTTGGAGGCCGACTAGGGCACAGAGATCACGAAATAATAGAGTTCTCTGTTCTTAGAGAGGTCAGGAGAGAACTAGGCAGGACTGACATCCTGGACTTCCGAAGGGATGACTTTTGTTTAGGCACCTGCTTGAAAGGATCCCCTGAGAGACTGTCCTGAAGGGTATAGGGGTCCAGGAAGGCTGGATGCTCTTTAAGGAGGAAGTGTTAATGGCACAGGAACAGGCTGTCCCCAGGTGCTCTTAAGCTGACGCCAGAGAAGACCACCTTGGCTGAACAGGGAGCTTTGGCTGCAACTCAGGGAGAAAAGGAGAAGTTTACAGCCTTTGGAAGAAGGGACTAGCCACTCACAGTGATTAACAAAGATGCTGTGAGGCTATGCAGGGTGGAAATCAGAAGATCTGAAGCCCAACTGGAAATTAATTTGGCCTCTGCAATCAAGGATAACAAGAAAAGTTTCTATAAGTATGTCAGTAGCAAAAGAAAATCCAGAGAGAGTCTCCATCCCCTGCTATATGCAGGAGGAAATATGGTAACAAGTGATGAGGAGAAGGCTGAGGTGCTTAATGCCTTCTTTGCCTCAGTCTTTAATAACAAGATTAGTTGTATTGATGAAATCCAGCCTCCACAGCCAGAATACAGAGACTGAGAGAATGACCCCCCTGCAATCCAGGAGACAGTCAGTGACCTGCTCCATCACATAGACACACACAAGTCTATGGGTCCGAATGGCATACACCCGAGGGTGCTGAAAGAGCTGGCTGGGGTGCTCGCCAGGCCACTTTCTATTATTTACCAGCAGTCCTGGCTGACCGGGGAGGTCCCAACAGATTGGAAATCAGCCAGTGTGACACCCATCTATAAGAAGGGTCAGAAGGATGATCCGGGAAATTACAGGCCTGTCAGCTTGACTTCAGTGCCCAGGAAGCTGATGGAGCAGCTCATCCTGAGTACCATCACACAACACGTGTGGGACAACCAGATGCTCAGGCCCAGTCAGCATGGGTTTATGAAAGGCAGGTCCTGCTTGACAAACCTGATCTCCTTCTATGACAGGGCGACCTGCTTATTGGAAGAGGGAAAGGCTGTGGATGTTGTTTACCTTGACTTTAATAAGGCCTTTGACACCATTTCCCACAGCATTCTCCTGGCAAAACTGGCTGTTCGAGGCTTGGATGGGCACACGCTTTGCTGAGTAAAAAACTGTCTGGATGGCCGGGCCCAAAGAGATGTGGTGAACGGAATTAAATCTGGTTGGCAGCCGGTCACAAGTGGTGTCCTCCAGGGCTCGGTTTTGGGGCCACTCCTGTTTAACATCGTTATTGATGATCTAGACGAGGGGTTCAAGTGCACTCTCAGTCAGTTTGCAGATGACACCCAGTTGGGTGGGAGTGTTGATCTGCTCGAGGGTAGGGAGGCTCTGCAGAGAGACCTGGACAGGCTGGAGCCATGGGCTGAGCCCAACTGCAGGAGTTTCAATAAGGCCAAATGCCGGGGGCTGCCCTTGGGCCACAACAACCCCCAGCAGCGCTACAGGCTTGGGGAGGAGTGGCTGGAGAGCTGCCAGTCAGAGAGGGACCTGGGGGTGTTGATTGACAGCCGGCTGAACAGGAGCCAGCAGTGTGCCCCGGGGGCCAAGAAGGCCAATGGCATCCTGGCTTGTGTCAGCAATAGCGTGGCCAGCAGGGACAGGGAAGGGATCTTACCCCTGTACTCAGCACTGGTGAGGCCGCCCCTCGATTCCTGTGTTCAGTTTTGGGCCCCTCACTCCAAAAATGACATTGAATGACTCGAGCGTGTCCAGAGAAGGGCAACGAAGCTGGTGCAGGGTCTGGAGCACAGGTCGTAGGAGGAACAGCTGAGGGAACTGGGGGTGTTTAGTCTGGAGAAGAGGAGGCTGAGGGGAGACCTCATCGCCCTCTACAGCTACCTGAAAGGAGATTGCAGAGAGCTGGGTTTGAGCCTCTTTAGCCTAGTAGAAAGCAACAGAACAAGAGGGAGTGGCCTCAAGTTGTGCTAGGGAAGGTTTAGACTGGATATTAGGAAGCATTTCTTTCCAGAATGGGTTGTTGGGCGTTGGAATGTGCTGCCCAGGGCAGTGGTGGATTCCCCATCCCTGGAGGTGTTTAAGAGTCAGGTCAACATAGCTTAAGGATGTGCTGTAGGTGGGAACTGTGCTAGGCAAACGGTTGGACTAGATGATCTCCAGGGTCCTTTCCAACGTAGATGATTCTGTCATTCTGTGAACATTTCTATAGAGTTAGTTACTAAGGACTGTGTTTTAAAAAAAAATTTAGTTCCCTCAATACTTGCACAGGACTACTTAATCAAAAACTCCATCTACTTACCTGCTTATTCAAGTGTATAACTCACTTTCACAGTCTATCCTGAAGCCCTACACACCTCAAGCAACTGTAAGAATTCTTTAGCAGTATTTGACAAGTTGAAACAGTCTTTCTAAACATGTATATTTTTTTCTAAAATAACCTGATTTCCTTGAGTATGTATATTGGCATTAAGAAATCTGTATAAAATAAATTATGCCAGCCAATGTATTCAATACAATATATTTTGTGGCCTCCTTTTTTTTTTTTTTTTTTTTTTTTTTTTTTTTTTCATATATAACTCCATAGCAGCTTCTGAAAGCTAATTTTCTACTCTATTTTAGCTTCCAGGACCAAACACAGGAGTATGTAATATTTTCCATTTCTAACTCAGTAATTGATTTTCAATAAGAGTAGTTTACCAAGTAGATGTTTCCATCTGACTCTTAATGGTAAAGCATACTAAAGCAGCCTGAAATAGAAATCAAATGTGAATTTCTACAGCTGCACTTACAAGTCTTATACTTTTACAAATTTTGGTGCAAGTGTTTTGTATTTTTCCATGAATTATCTAAAAGTGATGCTTATCATAATGAATGCTTAAATATCTTTGATCTTTCTCCAAACTATGCCATGTAATTATCTGTTAGGGACTGAATGCTATTACTGACATCATCTTGTCTGGTGAATCATCTCACTTAATATGGTGTCCTTTAATCTTCCTTGTACTTGCTTACGTACTGTAGATCTTTAAGTGTGCTATAGAAAGTAACTGGAGTAATATTTGCTTTAAACATGCTAGTATATATTCCTGAGATGCCCTTTGTTTGTATTTTTATATAGCTTCATCATACACAACAAAGATACTTTCTTCAATAATGCTACAAGAAGTAGAATTGTACACCATATCTTACAAAGAGTGAAATATGAAGAAGGGAAAAACAAAATTGGTAAGTGCGAGCAACATGCCTTCAAACATGGGTGCTAAATTCCACCAATAAAAGAGAAGTCTGCCTGGGCTGGTAGGACTCTTTTGCTTTCCTTTTTAACCACCTCTGTTATGGGCTGTTTACATCTCAGCCATAGCTGTTCTAGGGGCTTTCCCTGGAAGTCCTGATCATTTCCCTGTAACATCAGGCTGCTTTCACAACCACATATGTCACCACTTGGGATTTATCACCTCTAAAAGGAAAGAGCCTGATTTAAGCAAGAAATTTGTACAGATTAAGGGCCCTGGAGAAGCAGACTCATGCAGAAAAGCTTCTACTCCTTCATAAAAATGTATTTGGAAGGATGGCAAGATTTGTACTGCTGTGCGTCCCAGCCTGTAGGTCTTCTCCTTGGATACCTGTCTATCCTTAAGGGAGATGCAGGGTTCTATATCTCTGTGGCTGCTGTGAGTCAAAAGGGAGTTCACCAGTAATGTCCTCAGTGCAAAGGATGCCATGCATAACTATTGCATCACTTTGAAATAGTGAGTGGAGTGGACCTTTGGAGCGGCAAATATGCAGATCCAGGAGAGCAGGCAGTGACAGAGGAGGGCTGGAGTATGAGCAATAGCTCTCTTCTGCCTTGTGATACAGAGCACGTACTGCTTGTGTGTCACATAGAAACTGGGGTATTACAGAGATTCAATCCCCATAAAACTCTGCAGCCTGTTCATTTCCCTGCTTCTTAAACCCTGTCCTTCTTCAAGAGGTAGAGAAACTTCCCAGAACTTCACTTGTTTCTTCCTCAGCTCCTGTGATGAGGGCAGCAGTAGCTCTGAGCAATGACAGTGAGCAGAGGTGAGAGAAGAAAAGGAAGAAATGATGTGGTGCATGCAGCCATTGCGTTTGGCGCACACACTTCCAGTTCTTGCCTGCTTCAAGAGCCCAAGCTTCCTCATGTATCTACTTGTGTTGTACCTACCATGAACACAACCTTTCATTGATCACTGAGCAGAACAAAGCCTGGCTGGGGTGTACAGGTTTTGCTTTTCTGCCAGACTTTGGAGGAAAGCATATTCTGCCAAGCAGATACTAATGCAGTCACTGAAAGTGCTGTTTATGTTGAATTAATACTTCTCATTGCTGTGTTCTTGCTGCTGTCATTCCCCTGTGAATTAGGAAAGGAATCAGGGTTCTTTGCCTCTTGGTCAATGGGGTTCAAATGCCTTCGGGTTGTTAGTGCCAGTATTTAGTTTTGCATTGCCTGATAGGTGTTCAGTCCTGTTTTGGTGACTTATCAAGTGAAAAGTGCCCACATCTCAGCAATCATTCATTATTTCTCTTAAGGCTGTCATTAAAGAGGGATAAAGCCTGGCTGAGTGGGGTATATGATTATTTTTTTGTGCCAAATAATCTTTTTCTTCAGGTTCAAATATATTTTCTGGTCTTGTACTACTGCCGCCTGTCTTGTTCCTGTTCTACCTGTTAGTCAAGCAGCTTTTGTAAGACATAAACTAAATGTATTTTACAACCTTGCTATCATATGGAAATTAAAGAGTTTCAGTTGCTTTACTGGCCTGCAGTTCAAAAATTTAAAGATCTTCCTTGAAGCTTTCAGCTCACAAGAAATACAGCCTTTCATCTAAATAGCTTCCTTAGAGCAAAATTTATGGGTCAAGCTGCAGTCCTGGTGTGAGGTCCCTAATTTCACTGAACTTATGCTAAAGAGGGATTTTGCAAATGAATCTTTAAGCCTCCATCATAATAAATGATAGATTATGATTAATATTTGAACACGTTTCTGCTTATATTATATCTTAGTTCATCAAAATCTATAGAAGATTAGGTTATTTAACGTGTATCTTTTACTGTCAGTGGGCTTCAGACTTGTGTTTTGCTTTTTATTTAGCAGTTTTTCTGGTTCTATTAGTAAATAATTGGATACTTTTGATTCTTAGGTCTGAATCGATTGCTCAGTAATGGCTCCTATGAAGCTGCATTTCCTCTTCATGAGGTATTTTTCTCAGATTTTTTTCTTTTTGAACAGACATTTCCCACAAAATGAATTCTTAATTGTGTAATATTTTTTTCTCAGTCTTATTAATGTTATTACTCTCTTTCGCATTTGGCATCTACCTCTGACATCCCTTCCATTTAGTAATGCTTTTTTTTCTTGCAAAAAGAGATGAGTAAGGAGAGTTGTTCTGGATCTGTTCTGTAAAAAGTATTTGGGTTTAATAAATCAGTATGTTTTCAGAGGGTAAAAATACCATGCTGTTGTTTTCTCTTTGAGATTCTCCAATTTATAGCCTTTGACTTGGAACACAATTTATCATAAATTTCTTAAGAAGAATAATCTCAAATCTTCTTAAGAAGAATAATGTAAATATTTAAAGTAATATTTAGCTTTTGTTGCATGAGTATGGTGTTTGAACAAAATGTATTTTAGGGAAGTTACAGAAGTAAGAATTCCATAAGAACACATGGAGCAGAAAACCATAGACACCTGCTCTACGAGTGCTGGGCTTCCTGGGGAGTGTGGTATAAATACCAACCACTGGACCTCGTGAGGTAAGTCTCCTGCTTTTAGTATGTCACGTTATAGGTGCTTTGAGCATTAGGTACCTCTCCTCTGACAAAACCATGAAAAGCTCAGTTAATTCATATGTTTTTTAAAAACTGATCCTGAGGTCATGGGAATCCATTTCATTCATGGTGTCACTACATTCAAAGAAGTATCTATAGAAGAGCTTGTAGAAGGAGCTGAAAGTGAAGGAAGTTTCATTCTAGAGTTTCCTGACACCATAACTTCTAATGAAGGATTTTCCGAATATTTAAGAGAGAAAAAAGGGAAGAGAGAAATCTGTGGAGGCTAGGTAGACTTGGTTGCATGTCTAGCCACTGGAGGAGTTCTTCCTCCTCAAAGCATGACTTTGGTGAAAAACAGGCTCTCATCAACTAGATCTTCTTTCTTTCCAAAAAGCAACACAGAAGGAGCCCTGGATGAAGTTTAATGATGCTTACAGCTGGCATGACACAGAGCTCACAGTCACTGAGTGTGCTACTGTGCTCAGCAGAACTCGTGGTAATGGGTTAAAGTCTCTCCTGTACCACCTCCCTTAAACTCAGCCCAGCCACATCTGCATTACATTTGTATTCATCTTGGAAGTAGCCTCAAAAGAAGAGCACCAAAAAAGCCGAGACATGGCTCCAAATTCTTATATCCCTTTTAAATAATGTTTTCAAATAGCCTTGCATGTGCTAATAGAGGATTACATGTTTTTTATGCATATAGAGAGAGCCAGAACCTTTACTGATCATGTTGGCAGAACTATCATTGGATATTAATAGGCTTTTTCTACTTGAATGAGAGGAAAATGAAGCTACAAGAATCTATTAATAAAGTCTTAAAATGCATTGATATCACTGAAGATATTGATACATTGGATATGGGGAAGGGTCATATGGAGCATACAATTGGTCCAACAGATTAATTTTCCCTTTTTTAAAGTTCTGTAACTGGTAGAAACCTTTGCTTTTATTGATTCTCAAAATTCGTAGACGGTGACCGTGGAGACAAGGCAGTGTTATTGATTAAGGCCATATAAAACTTATCAATCTCATAAAACAAGATGTCTTCAATTTCCATCGAGAAAAAGTTCACAGAGAAATACAATTAAAAAATTTTACTAAGTCAAGTAATTTTTAAAATGCTTTAGAAAACAAAGTAATGCATTTGTACTTCATAATTAAACCCTGGAAGCTTCTTATTTCTTTTTTAATTATACTGGCCTGGACAGAAATATGGAATTTTTCTCAAATTACACTCTGGAAATTGCTGATTTACTGAGGGGCCAGCAGTTATACTGAAGTTTTTATTTTTAATTTCCAAATATACAATAAGATATTAATGTCACAGTATAAACAGCTTACCTCTATAATGTTTTTAATCATTTGTCCATGGTGGTCAAGGCTACTGTTCTTCATCAACATGTCTTGTTTGTGAAAGTGTTGTTGAGCCAGTATCTGGGTTTTGGTTTAATCTGGTTTACGAATATGGACTATCAGGCATCTGGAAGGTTTTTTAAGTATGAGAATAAATGGTAACAGAATGAACAATATTAGACACATGATTGTTCTGAACCTTGCTGGGAGTCTTTTTGAGTAGTCTGGGTTTGATGTCTAAGATTTTGTAAGATGTTTTAGCTTTTTATCAGGCAGTGACATCCACAGATTTTTCTACAGCTGTTTCACAAAGTAAAAAAGGAATCAAAATAGCGGACCCTCTAGCTGAGGTCATGGGTGTCCTGTGGTGGTTCAGAGTAGGTAATTACCCAAGGAGCTGGGGGCTGTCAGGAGGTGTGAGGGTCCCTGAGCATTTGCAGAAGCATGAGTCTTGGTAGCCATTGAGCTCTGCAGGGTTCAAAGCTGCAGCCCCAGCCCAGCCTGCTGTTTGCTGCCTGGAGCTCACCTATGGCTACAATGAATTCACTGAAGGAGGGATGACAGGAAAGGGGAGGAATGCCTGTTTGTTCTCACTTCACAGATGCTAGATCCCTCACATTTCCTTAGCTCCTGCCAAACCTTTTCTGTCTACTGCCACTCTCAGCAGTTCACGTGCCTACTGAGCTGGAGATTTTTCCTTGAAGAGCTGACAACACCAGCAAGACCTGTTGGTCATTTCACTCAGAAGTATTTCAGCATGCATACTTTAAAATGAAGCTTTTTTTGTACCAGTTCTGCAGCATGACTGACTTCGTAATTTTTTTTTCACAGACCAAGAGCTATGTGGGGTGTGCTTGAAGGGAGTAGTGTTGCCATTTGTACAAAAGGAGTGTATGGATGTTAATGCTTCCATATACATCTGGCCAGAACTTTCTGCTGCTAGGTGATATTCCCCTTTACTATATGCTTTAGAAAGGCTAAGGAGTAAATTAGATGTAGATAATATAATTATCTCATTAATAATACTATATTTCCACCTTAAAGTCAAGTTGCCACAATGGTAAGTGAAATTGTTCTTATTTTGGTGCTTGTTTATTTTTTAACTTAGCTGTTAAAATGAGGTTTTACATCTCCAGTGCTGTCAATTTGATGCTTCCCAGATTTCATTTAATCTCAGCAGCTAGCTGTTATGGAAATACTAGTCACTAGAAATAAAAGGTAAAAAGTCATTTGCGGGGAATTGCATGATTCTGCTTTCACTCTGCTTTGAAACATGTGGTGGTATGAAGGTGCAGACCTGGCACAATGGCAAAGGCACTCTTATTAATCAACAGACGTGGTACCATGATTTTAATTACACTTCTGTTGGAATTCACTATCCCTAGTTACTTTACAAGAATAATTTAAAGGCCTTAGAGTTGGTGACAATTGGAAAGAGGTAGGACTTAGTATATTTATATGCTCTGGGACCAAGTCAGTCAATGGAAACAGTTGCAGTGGTTCCTAGGGGCTTTAGATCACCTCCTTCACGCTTCTATGCATAACTGCTTCCCTCTAGGTTGTGCACAAATTGCTCCTGCTGCTGCTTATGCATGTTATTTACAGGACAAAAAGGGAGGGAGAAAACTATATTTATAAAGTGATTGTAAAGCTACCTAAATGAACCTGAAAGCAAAAGTAATGCCTGAGTAACTTGCGTTCTACTCCGTTTACATTAAATGACTTGCTTGCAAGCTGACAACTCCCTTTCAATCTCCTGTCAAGCCTTCCTTCTCACCTGATTGCTCCTGACATAAGAGGACAAATTCATGTGTCCAAAACACCTATTGGAAAGCTCTAGCTCCTTCACAACTTGTTTCTGTGATGTAGAAAGTTCTGTATAGGATTTTGTTTTGACCTGCAAATGGATTCATGAAGAGATATAGGTTCTTGGTTTGAGTTCAAATCTGTCTGTATTCTAGCTTCCTTCTAGGCATCCTGAAGACAAAAGATTATATAATGAAGGTCATTAAACACAGAATAATCCTATATCACATTTTTTTTGGTCTGCAATCAGGCTCTGTAGCTTAATACTTTTCAAAATACTGAGATTGAAATCTTGACTCAGTTAAGTCAGTGATAGTTCTGCCATTGGAATGGGGTGAAGGGAGAGACAATTCACCATTAAAGTAGGTGATATTGGAGGGCTAGTATACATTCTAGCATAAAATTGAGAAGCTGAAATTATTTTTTTATTCTAGTAGTGCAGCATATCCGAGGATAGGAGAAATCGATTATTCTGTTAGGTGCTTTGTGGTTTTTTATGTCTCTGTTTTTTATGTTAGTTGTGGAGGAAATTTTCTGTTGGAGAACCATAAAACACACAAAACATTTTTTTCTATTCTTACTAACAATCTGAAAAATTGGATGGTTATAAGTTAGCAAAGTTAACAAAAATGCCAATGTTATCATTACTGGAAAATTTCAAATAGGCCTTCAATGAACAGAGTGATAACAGATTAAATTTAGGTATAAGTAATGCACAGTGGTGTGCCCTAGAAAAAAATCCCTGGAATTATTCATGTACATTACTGAGTTCTGGCTAAAATCCTAGCATGAAGCTAAAAGATTTGCCATCAATATGGAGAGCTATATGAAATTTAACCCAATTATGGATTGGAATAAATGTGGAACTACTCTGAATATGGGGAGCTAGGAAAGTCTTCAGAGACCTTGTTACTGCCATGGGGTTTTTTTTTATAGAATTCAACCTAGTGGTATCTGAGCAGAAACTTACCAAAAAAAAAATGCTAACTATGAGGCCAGAAAAAATGAAATATTGACTTGATCCTGATGCAAACTGCAACAGCACAACCTGTGGAATACCAGCTATGAAGCAAAAGGCAGTAGTGAGAGACTGAGGCTGTTTATCCATATTTAAACCAACACCTATCAAAGTAATGTCAAATTTCTGCACTTATCTTTAAAACCAGGCTCACTAATGGCCTCAGATGCTTTTTCCTTACATTGCAGAGATTTGGGTCACTCCCCATCATGTCCGTTCTTCTTTGTGCACACATTGAACTTTGTTTGGCTCTTCATCTAGGATGAAGCTGTTCAATGTCTAGACCAAAAGAGAGTACTATGATTTGCAGTGCCAGATGGAAAGGCTCAACAGGACAGGAGATTTAGTTTGTCATGAATGTTTGTCGGCTAGGGGGGTGGTATGAGGGAAGCATTCATCCTTGAATGCAGGGAATTAAATTAAAAAATCTTGATGAAGGTTAAGTTTACTTCTCTACTTAGAACTATGTCCATGGTGAAAAATAGATCATAAATATTAAGTGGAAGTAAGGTCAAAATGTAAGTTTGCCTTTTCAGTGGAGCAGGCACAGCTTGACATCCTAGGTGTCAGGAAAATGGTTGGGCCAAAGATCTCACTAACGCTCTTAAGTCAGGGCTTAAGCACTTTCCAGTCCTTTTACAACCAGACCTGCTGCCATTGTCAGAACTGAATATGTTATCGTTAGCTTACCACTTCTTTAGCCTGTAAATTTGAGTCTCTGTTGAATGACAGAAGACTAAAACCAACATGAAAATATTTGACTTCTCATACAGAGCTATTAAAATCCAATGATAATAATCGGTGTAGGTCAGTATCACTCAGCAAAGCATGAGTTCAGCTCAGACAGATATTGCTTACACTGGAAATTTTTTATATCCATTTTAAAACTGATGATTTTGTCCATTCCAGACCAAGCGTTTATTTCTCTTCTCCACTGCCTCTAACCCTGGAGCCCATCATGGGTCTTTCCTCCTTACTGTGAAAGTTTAACTGAAGATGTTTTCTGGTAGCATAATGGAGCCAGTAGTGCTGTCTCACTGTATTCTTTGTCTCTGGACAGATCAGAAGTTGCATCATTAGAATAAAAGTGGATTTTCATCAGCAGCTATTCTCAAATTCATTTGATATGCAAGTTTAAGTTATCTGCAATGTCTCTGAAGTGCAAGAATATCATCTTGCCTCATTCTTCAAAACTAATCTTGCACATAATCTCCTAAAGATTTCTTTGTAATCATGATAATTGTATATTGATTTGTAAAGCATCCTAATCTGATCATCAGCCTACTGTGCACAAAACCATCAAACACAGGACAATGCATGAGCCTGCTCCTGTGCTGATGAGTTCAGCAGGTTTTTTGTGTGCTTGATGTGTTCTTTAACACATAAATGAAGGTTTCATTGTGTTTGGGAAGAAGAGAAATGCTAATGAATATGTAGCAAATAAGAGCTTCCTGGCCACTTTGCTGTTAGTTTTTAAGCAATATAGCTAACAAATTAGGATTAATTCAGACTACTTTCCTTGAATCAGTGCAAAATGATACATAAAGTTATTTGTTGGACTTCCCTTGCACTTCCCACCTGTGTTAGAATCATAAAATTAGTTTTCCAGGAACTGAGCTAAGAAAAGAAATAATCAAATGAAAATAAACTGGATTGGAGAATAACCTCTGGTTAATTAATTTCTTAGAAATAATTTGGGCCCAAATAATTATTGCTGGTATACCAGCTTCACAGATTAAACCGATTTCAATGCAATTATTTGGAAGTATAGTTACATAGCCAAAAGGCAAAGCAAGCCGTCAATTTCCCAGATACTAAGAACTAGCTTTTTAAAATAAACTGTGTTTCCTTTCTGAGGTATCCACTCATCTCACTGTAAAATGTGATGAGTGAATTTTTAAATTAGTTTAAATAAGTTCATTCATGAGTCAGGTCCCTCAATGTGGATTTAGAAGCTCAGTTGCAGACTTTTTCTTCTCTCTAATCTACTCTTCAGATATAATAGAAATATTTATTTTCTATTAACAAGCAAAATTAAGCAAATTTATTCTAATTAGCAGGTAACTTCGCTGTGTTGTGTTTTAAAACAGACGGTACTTTGGTGAGAAAATTGGGCTGTACTTTGCCTGGTTAGGCTGGTACACGGGGATGCTCTTCCCAGCTGCTTTCATTGGATTGTTTGTCTTTTTGTATGGAGTCACCACTTTGAACCACTGCCAAGTCAGGTAATGTGGGTACTTTTATAAGGGAAACTACAGCTGTGGGTTATTATGAATAATTTAAGAGATCATATGAATTGTTAATTACTTCATTTTGAACTATTGAATGCTCAGGAAAAGACTGTGCTTGGTTCTCATAAGGTACCCAGTATCGAGCTTCCCTTGTTTTGTGCTCCTGAATTGGGATGAGAGGCAATGTTTCTTGCCCAGCTCCAGCTGCTGATGGTGCTGGCAACTCAGTATGAAGTAGGGAAAAAGTAGGACTCCTTCATTACTGTTATAACAGGTCAGCAGAAGAGTGGGGAATTTTCACTGTCTTCAAGGCCTTCCCAAAGATCCACAACAGGAAGGCATTCTTCAGATGAACCTCATTCACCTTCTACTGAGTGCTGCATCTCTGAATCTTGCACACATAAGTCACAAGAATAAGTGAAAGTTACTTATCTGCAATCAACCTCACCCTCCTCCTTCCAAAGGTCACTTGTGACTCAGTGAGAAGCTGGAAATGGTAAAGAGATACTGTTAGGCTGGCCCTGAAGAATTATCCTCTGCAGTTATGGCTGTAAACTCTGAAGTCTTAGTCAACAAATACTAATTTTACACATGCAGTTATGAGCATCTTGACTTCAGTTACAGAGCAGTATTGTTCAATAAGTAGCTGAAAGTAGCTTATTAATCAGTTTTAAGACTGATTGTTGTGCATCAAACTTATTAATTTTTATCTTTTCTATTTTTCCAGTAAAGAAGTCTGCCAAGCTACAGATATCATAATGTGTCCTATATGTGATAAATATTGTCCCTTCATGAGGTTGTCAGACAGCTGTGTTTATGCCAAGGTATGTTTCAAACTATGCAAATAGAAATGCTTTCCTGGTAAAGGCATAAATTTTACCTTTTGCATTTGGCTTTAGTGAACCTGGATAGATAAAATCTTGGAAGGACAGATCAAGATTAACCAATATTAACATTCTTTGTCTTTTACCAAGACTTAGTTTGGGTTGTAAAACACTTGAATGCAATTTGCACTTAAAGATATAACAGTCCCAGTGGTCACGACTTAGGTGCATGTGCTACAATGTCCTTGGCATCAACCTTTATCTTACGATCCATCCTTTGTATGTGGCTCCATAAAATTAATGCTTTGGGTCTGAGATGATACTCACACCTGGTGTTGGCAAGGGTCAGTCCCAGTCCAGGCTGTCAAATAGTCCTCTACTGACAAGTGCATTTCACACATCAAGGGAAGGATCCTCAGGATTGTCAGGCCAGCTGCACTCATGATCACATTAATGTTATTAGGTGAAAATAGAAAATAAAGCCTTATTGTCACAAATTGATCACACTATTAATATATCTCTCAGGTAACCCACCTTTTTGACAATGGAGCTACTGTCTTTTTTGCTGTTTTCATGGCGGTGTGGGGTAAGTTTTTGGTTTGATATTAATTGCACAATCTTATTCTTAAAGATTGTGATGCAACATAGGCCTTTGTAATTTCCAGCACACTTTTTTTTAGACACTGAGAAAAACAATATAGGCTTGGTTCTTTTCTCTTTCTGCAAAAAGAAGATGGAAGTGATTGAATTCAGGTGTTTATGTGATAATAATTTTAATTAAAATAAAAACATGAATACAGTACGTAGTGTCTATGTAGATATTTATATTCTGTGGGGTTTTGTAATTGTTTTTCAGTCTGTTGGTACTGAGGCCTTTACTCTGTTACTGTTCAGGGATTCCCTTAACTAAGACAGCTCAGTTCAGTATCTGTTCTAAAATGAATTAATATATTGTTTTTCCCACCTTGAAGAAAATCAGAAAAGCTTAAATATATGTAAGCTGGTTTTAATTAAAGCAAAATTGATTAAATAAATGGAAGATATAGTTGAATGACAAATTGATCTGAGAGTGGTCTAACTGTTGCCATGGAGGCTGAATTATGTCAATAGGACAATTTTATTTCTGGCTCAACTATTTTTCCTACTGTGGTCTTGTAGGCAGAATTGAAGGCAAGAGGAAAACAATAATTTCTGGCAGCACAAAAAGTCTTTCAAACATGCCCTGAGCATGCCCAGGCTCTTAGCTGCTACCATGCCATTCTGAGAGAAGGTTATCATCTTTAGAAAATGGCTCATTGAAGTGGGGCCTCAAAAATGTCATCCATCTCACAGCCCCGGGTGCTTGAGAAATCCTGATTTAGATGTTGTTCTCCTCTTCTTACACATCTCCAACAACTTTAGAAGGGTGTCCAAGTAAAGTTTATAATCCCTGTTTTAAACTGCAAATGCCTTTACTGAGCCACAAGAGATATCCAGGAGGCAAAATTGGAGCCATCAGGACAACATAGATTAGCCTAGCAGTTTGTCTCAGTTCCTTCCTCCAAAAGTATATTTTTGTCTTAATTAATAATTTAATTAGGTCAAATACCAATCGAGCCTATTCATGCCATTTCATGTAATGTTGATATTAAAATACCACAAATTATATTAAAGTAAAAATCCACAGATCGTACAGATTTTATGTTTTTCCTTGGTATTTCAGCTTTGTTTTAGAACTACACCAGAGCTGAGAATCACCAAAACTTTCTAAGCCTTAAAGATTTTTTTATATGTTTTTTTTTATAGCTTTTCCAAACTGTTTCTCTATGTGCTCACTGAAATTGAGGATTTTCAAGATAGTTTGGAGGTAGGGACTTCATCTCAGCTAGGAAAATTTATATGTTAATGTTGTTGACCATTTATGTCACTGATCCTAACTGCTGGTGAGCATGTCTTTGGAGTGCAGCTTTTTGCACCAGTGCTTTTGTTCCTCCTTAACAGTAGCACTGCTTTTAGGCAACAGCTGTGCTCAAAGCACTGCAACAGGGCTGTAGGAAAAGCAGTCCCTCACTCAGGTAACCATGCCTGGTCCCACCTTGTGGTTGCTGAGCATGCCTGCCTACAAAATGTATGTACTTTCTCTTTCCTGTCTCTAGTTGACAGGAGCTGCACCTCACTTTGGTTAGCCTCTCCTTCCTTCCCCTCCTTCAGCATCACTGTCAGATTACCAGACCAAATTCCTTCTGGGGATATCTCCCTCCCAGCACTGCCCATCCATTCATCTCCATCACCTCATCCCACAGAAACACAAAACCAAACATAATAAATGCTGCCCTCTGAATGATTTGACTAGTGGAGAAGAGAGTACAGGACAGTGGCTGGGGTGAAGAGCTTTCCCCAGCACCGTTTTTGCCTTACACTGTGCTTGTGAGCTTGCCACCAAGAGGGATGTAGGGGCTGCAACAGGAAGGAAGTTGTGAGTGTGAGTTAATGGTTTGGGGAATGGAACAATCCTATGACTTCACCCAAACTGTAGTTTCTTAAATAAGACTTTGCTGAGACAACAGTGAGACTGTGGAGATATTTTCCATACAGTTAGGGCTAAAGCAGCATTAGAACAAGGAAAGCCAGGCTTTCCCAGCAATTTTTCTGGTACTATATTTATGAGTTGGCTTACCGCCTGACTTAAATGGAATTTCAGTGTGCAGTAGGTCTATTGGCAGCTGCAAGCATTACCATCATCTCAATAAATAGTAGGGGAAGAGAAGAAACAGTGATAACAGTTTGATTGTGGAAATGTTTTTTTCTGTCAGCATTAAACAACTGGCAAGTGCATGACAAATAGGCTGTGAAAAGTTCAGCCTTCTAGATGATCCAGTTTGACAGACACTAGCATATAAAGTAATGATAGCAGTGCTTTTTTAAAAACAAAGAAAATGGAAGAAAAAAAAAAAAAGGCAGGTAGAATTCTGTTACCTCTTTAGCCTGAGCTTAGCCACTCTCTTATTATCTGAAGTACCTTCTTCACTGTCTTTAGATCCAGTAGTGAACTCTCATCTTGAGGGAGAAGCCTCAATCACTTGCTTAGGGTTTTCAAAACCAGGTGTGGTCAGGTTTGGCTTTCCATGAAGAAGTGATCTGTATGGTCGTTTCCTCCTTTTACAGAAGACATCTTTAATTGATGGACATAGCAGGTTGCTCACTTTTTAAATAGAAATAAAATGCTTCTCCAAATGATGAGCAAACTGCAGTGGCCAGGCTAGGGAGCAGAATTACGACCAAAAAAAATATCAGTATGGGCTGCTTGATTTGTGGAACAACAATGAGCATGTCTGTAGGACTGTGAAGCACAGAGACCCATCTTTTATAAAGCTTCACTATGGGATATGTGGGTCCCATCAAAGTAAGGTTGGAATTGTCAAGTGCACCAGGAGATACTGGAATAGAAACACATTTTTCTTAAAAAAAATATATTGACCCACCACCTCACTTATTGTATTTTTGCCCAGTTTGAGAAAAAACCCATATAAGAGGTAAAGGTAATTGATACAACAGGAGAAAAAAAAAAACAAAAACAAAATACCAAACCAAACCAAAAAAAAAGACACTTGCTAAGGTATACCCAGAAGTCATAAGATAACTTTCATTTTAAACTGATGCTGGAAAGGACAAAAGATAGTCTCCCTTCGGTACACTGAAGTATTCACTGGTAGCGAAAAGTGTAACCTTTTCTGTATTGGAGCTTCAGTTGAAACGAAAAGCCCTTTCAAAAGGATTGATGCTATGAATCTCTGTGGTTTATAGGAAACAGTAAGTCCCTATAAACACATATTTTTCTTATTGGTGAAGAGATTGTTGCTGATGCTCACTGAGATGTCATCATCTCAGAATCTGGAAAAGAATTTTTCCTTTGGAGAATCTCTAGTTCTGATGATATTTTCCAGATGCTCAAAGCTTTCAAAAAGAGGCTAGCAGTTGAACTTTTTGGTTTTCTGTGCTAGAGGGAAATGCTTACACTTTGCCCTTTATGCATGCCTTGACATATGTCAAGCCTTATAAAAAGATAAATCCCATTTCTAGGAAAAAAATCCTCTCTTTTCACTGTCTGAATTGAATTCTTATCAAAGACAGAAAATGAGAGAAAGATGTTCCTTCTAAGTAACTGTTGACATTTAAATGCAGAAAAAAGTCATTCTCAGAAAAAAATCTAGGTGAATTTAATAATCAGTTGACTCCCAGCATGTTGCTGTAAAAGCAGATGGAATTGTAGATTTTGCTCTTCCAATTCAAGTACTGGAGAAAACTAGTGCAAAGATGTCACTGTCTAGATGTTTCCTGAAGCTCTGTAGCAAAGTTCTGTAACTGTCCAACAGGAGAGTCTAGCTATTTATAATTTCTAATGCTTTGCTAGAGACCAGGTGGGCTGATGGTAGTTTCTCTTGTCTCTGCATATTTTTGGGAGACTAAGTCACACAAGAAAAGTCCTTTTCAACATTTCTTCTCATCTGCCTAGAAGCATGTTTCCTTTGATAAAGAAAGTAGCTTTAGAACACTTTCTGGGAGGGTAAAAATGTCTGGCATGAAGAATTTAACACTTTTTTCAACCAATAAGAAATGGCAACATGAAACATTTTTTCTAAATATATGTTAGTCTAATATAAGATACTGCTTTCCTACAAACCTTGCCTCTAGCATAAAATATTCACACTGATCTGCTCTCTTAGGAGACAGAATTTAAGGAGGTTCTTCAGCAATATTCCTGGTATATAGCATATATACAAAAGTCAGGATCACAGAATCATATCATAGAATCATAGACTGGTTTGGGTTGGAAGGGACCTTAAAGACCATCTAGTGCAACCCCCCTGCCATGGGCAGGGACACCTTCCACTAGACCAGGTTGTTGCTCAAAGCCCTGTCCAACCTGGCCTTGAACACTTCCAGGGAGGGGGCAGCCACAACTTCTCTGGGCAACCTGTTCCACCCTCACAGTAAAGAGTTTCTTCCTTATATATAATATAAATCTACCCTCTTTATTTTAAGACCATTACCCCTCATCCTTTCACTACATTCCCTGGATAAAGAGTCCCTCACCATCATTTCTGTAGGTCCCTTTTACTGAAAGACTACTATAAGGTCTCCCCAGAGCCTTCTCTTCTCTAGGCTGAACAACCCCAACTCTCTCAGCCTGTCCTCATAAGGGAGGTGCTTCATCCACCTGATCATCTTCATAGCCCTCCTCTGGACCTGCTAGAGCCTGTCCATGTCCTTCTTATGTTGGAGACCCCAGAGCTGAACACAGCACTCCAGGTGGGATCTCACAAGAATAGAGTAGAGGGGGAGAATCTCCTCCCTCAACCTGCTGGCCACACTTCTCTTGATGCAGCCCAGGATTCAGTTCTGGGCTGTAAGTTCACATTGCTGGCTTATAGTCAGTTTTACATCCACTAATACCCCCAAGTTTTTCTTCATAGGGCTGTTCTCAATCTACTCATCTCCCAGTCTGTATTTGTGCTTGGGATTGCCCTGACCCATGTGCAGGACTTTGTACTTGGTCTTGTTGAACTTCATGAGGTTTGCACAGACCCACCTCTCAAGCCTGTCAAGGTCCCCCTGAATGGCACATACCTTCCCTACAGTGTGCTGATTGCACCACATGGGTTGGTGTCATCAGCAAACTTGCTGAGGATGCACTCAATGCCATTGTTCATACGAACCCCTTAGGAAGGCCCCTTGTCACTGCTCTCCACTTGGATGTTGAGCCATTGACTGCAACTTTTTGAGTGCAATCATTCAGCCAATTCCTTATCTAGCAAGTGGTCCATCTGTCCAATCCATATCTTTCCAATTTAAAGACAAGGATGTTGTGCAGGACCATGTCAGATGCTTTGCACAAGTTGAGGTAGATGATGTCAGTTGCTCTTCCCTTATCCACCAATGCTGTAACCCCATCGCAGAAGGTCACCAAACTTGTCAGAGATGATTTGCCCTCAGTGAAGCCATGTTGGCTGTCATCAGTCACCTTATTTTCCACATGCCCTAGTGTCATTTCCAGGAGGATCTGCTCCATGATGGATATATTAAATGGTGTTCTGAAATACAATAGGAGAGGATTTCTGAGAGAAGGTCAAGATTAAGTTATTTGTTGTGAGAGGCCATTTGCATTACTAGCTAAGATCACAACTTGCTTCAAAAACATCTGAGGAAACGATGTTAAGACAGCTGTTTGTACAAGTGGTTGTTGAGAACTGAGCTCCAAGGTTGAGCTCTGAAGCAGGGCAAGCATAGTTATAGAAAAAGCTAGCAAAAGGCTTGGAAGTTAAGGCCAATGAGAAATTCAAAATTTCAAGCAGGAGTTTTGGAGAATTGTCAGCATCTGGTTTAAACATACCAATTGGAAAACGAGAGAACAAAAGTACAACTGTGTCCTCTTAAGCTGTCAAAATCAGAAAAGTATGCTGAAGTGTGATAGAGGATATTAGTGATTACTTGAAAAGAAGCAGAGAAATTTCAAAATTAGGTGCTTTTTAGAAGACCTCAGTAATACAGTGAATCAATCAAAGATGGTTATTTATAGCACATTTTAAAGTATCTAGTAAGAGAAAAGTGCATACTGACCTGGATAGAGGGAGAAAAGCATAACACAATAAAAGCTAAAACAGCACTGTGCAGATCTTCCTGTTTGCTACTTAATGATTTGAAAATAGCTTTCTAAAGAAGCTTTGGGAACTACACATACATACTCTGACAGGTGCTAAATACACTAAATATAATATTTATGGATTCCTCACTCCAGGTGTGTGAAAAACAAGAAAGTAAAGAAGTACAGTTCAGCACAGACATATCTGAGAGGTTCATGCCTGTGGACTCATATGCCCACTCAAGTCATGCTTTCAGGTGCTTTTTGGAATGGAAACAGAGCAATCAATCAGGCTTGCTTCTTCCAGGTCTCCAAAAGTGTAGGGCTACTTGTTTAGCCTGTACAAAATAATTCAATATTAGCTGATAGGAGAGAAGCAGCTCCACCAGAAGATTAGTCAAGGAATGAACAATGTGGTGGTTCAGCAGCAGTGGAACCTCATTAGCACTTAGTAGTTTTGCTGATCCCAACCAATCATACTGCAATTATCACAAAAAGTCATAGAAACATTAAGCTCAGGAGACTGAATTGACTTTTTTTTATTAGATTAAATTAAAGCAGCTGATTACTTGATGTAACATAACTCCAGCTATCAGATAAAGGATAACATGATATGTGAAAATGTTTTCAAACCGAATAGCTTCCTCCTCAGACATGCTTTTGATACCTTATCTGCTCACAGTGTTCATTTTCTAAGCATATCTTAGCTACGTTGGCTAATACATTAAAATATAATCATTCTTACTGGCTAAAAATTCACTTTCACAAAACTGGGACCAGTGCTGTAACCATAAACAGGCTCAGTATTAATCTCCAGAATACAAGCATATTATTTTATGACTGAGTGCTTCCTTGATTGTTCTTTCATCACAAAATGAAAGCACAGTTGTTTACAGGCATATTATACTATCTTGAACTCTGTCAATAACTTCTGTACAGCACAGAATGTTTAACTGTCAGATAACTGGTTAATGCCATCCTGTCAGCTAATATGGTTAATGCCCTACCACATACACACACTCATGTAATGTCAAAGAAATGGTCTGGATTAGAAAGGTGTAAGGCAAAAGTTCCGATTTCCTCAGTAGTACATTTGCACATGCACTGGAATGTGCTTTCTCTGGGTTCTGGTTTCTGTGTATTGTAAATGGCTTTCCAAGAGGGAAAGTTACTGCTTTATCTACAATATCCCCAAGAAATCTTTAGCTTCATCAGAAATCTGCTATATCTAGTAATGATGACTCACAGGAACAATTTTATTCTTTGAGAGTCTTCCCTTTGTTGGTTAGAAATTAAACATTCTCATTTAGCACTAAATGAAATATCTCAAGCCTCAATCATACATGAAGCAAGCAAAGTAATCCTTAGAAAGCAATGCTTTTTGAAAGCAGTTTTGATCATCAGCATGATTTGCTGTTCAAAGGAACCCATTTATGCAAAGCAATGAAAATAATGTAACAGCTTCATTCAACAGTTCTGTATTAGTTGTTAACATTTTCTTGACTTAAAAACAATTTTGTATTTTTTTTTCTATTTGCTCCAGCAACTGTTTTTCTGGAGTTTTGGAAAAGAAGGCGAGCAGTGATTGCATATGACTGGGACTTGATAGACTGGGAAGAAGAAGAGGTTTGTATAAAAAGATGTACTCCTTATTCTTTAATAGAAAAATATTTGGTTAAAAATACTTTTCTTTTGGATTTATTTTCAATTCATTTGTTAAATCTTCATAAACTAGTAAATAAGCATTTTTCTCCTTGGATATTTCTTCTGGAATACAAAGAAACTCGCCAGACCAAACTGTCCTCTTTTCACACCTTTGTAAATCTGGATTAATTTCAACATATCAGTGGCTGTCATTGTGGGTGATCAAAGGGAAAAAAATGCTCTTTGGGGGAAACAAAAAAATTTTTCGTTTCAATCCAAGGAAATTCTTGACAGCCCAGGTACCATGAATTTTGGCAGATGAGCTTTATCCATTCATTTAGATAGCCACTAAGAATATTGATGGAGAGAAAGCCTTGTGAGGCTTGTACCAGCTTCTGAATGTTCAGGTGCTGGTTACCTAAGTATACAGTGCTGCAGAGAGACTGAGGGAAATGAACCAACAAAAAGGACTTATTTCATCCCCTATTGGTAGAGGAACTCCCATTAGGCAGAAAACTAAACAGCAAAAAATAGTCTCAGCCTTTTTCTGTGGTGGTTACCAGAAAGACACAGCGTGCTTTTGGGACTGAGAGTTGAGATCTAAGTGGAATTAGAAGCCTTTTGATGCAGGGGAAAAGCAAGATTCAGTGGGTATGGCAGAAAAAGTGCTGCTTGAGTGGGATTTGGACATACAGGTGTCCACAGAGTCTGCTTTCCTTCCTCTCCAGAGGCTGTCCTGAAGTGCTTGGAGGGACTGTAAAAGGCTGCTGCCGTGGTCTCAGTGCAGCTGAACTTGTATATTGCTGCCTCAGTGGAAAAATTTATTTTTCATTAGTCTTGCCCACAGAAAAATAGACTTCTGAGCTATGGGATTTTTTTATCTATGAGACAATGTAGTCTGTCAATGTAGTCAATGTAGGCTGTGAAATGGTATAGTTGCTAATTTGCTGGTAGGATTTTTTTTTAAATGCTAAAAGGCTAAAAAAATAATCCAATAACATAAAATGTCATAACACAACTGGAAATTGGTTTCTTTAAGCAACAGGAACATCATTAATTGTGCACATATGTTGTCACTTCTTGGTGATACTTCAGGACTGTTGTCACATATTTAGAAAATACTCTGATACTGATTTAACTCTCCTGAGATTAACAGCCAGCTCTGGCAATGCTGATGAGTCACAGAGAGATCACACTCAGATAGTCCTGCCTGAGATTCAAATATTGGTCAGGATTGACCTGCAGTGATCATGTCTCCTCATGGCTAGTTGCAAAAAAGCCAATACTTGCTTCTGACAGCTAAAGTAAAGATGAATGCACCAAATTGCAGTTTCCAAATCAGGATTATAGCTCAGCGTCCACAGAATGAGAAAGAGCCTTTAACAAAATACATAAGCAAGTACAATACGAGGCCCTTTTTATGGTTTTTTTTCCCGGGAGGCCTGGTCTTGCTGATGTTTATAGTTCAGGGTGTTACATATCTGCAACGTTCACAATTTAACCTACCTGGATTTGGGATTATGATGATTTACAAAGCCTTCCACCTGAATTTTCTATGATCAGTTTATCTGCAAATAATGAATTTCCTGGCAAAATTGTCCTTAAGTGATGCTTTGCTTTTTTATTTTTCTTCTTTCCATGTAATAATACTAAGTGATATCTAGGTGCTGTGGTAATGCTTGGAGGAGTCTTTTGTTCAGGTGTGAGCATAACAGCTCCAAGCCCATTTAACCTCTTCATGCACGTCCCCAAACTCCTTACAGCCTTGCTGCTATTACTGCAAGTGCATGTCCTCTTGCAGAGCCTGGAGGAAAGCATTCCCATGGAAGATTTGCTCTCAGCTTTCTGAGCTTTTTTGAAAGAGCATTACCGTGCCTATACAATGAAGCCTTTAGCTGGAATAAACCCTGAAAAAAGTTGTTAGATTTTTCTCTTCCAGTCAGAAAGCCTGAAAGAGCTTCTGGTAGTTGAAACTATCCTCAGAAATACTATGTGTTTATTTTATGATGTCTATCAAATAACATTATTTTTTATGAGATGCTTATATTCCATTGGCAGATTATTTCAGTCTGGCCTGCAAGATAACATATGCATGTCAGTAATTTTTAGGGGATACCTGCTCCCTGCTGATGGTCAGCTTGTCTTTTATTCTCACACCAGGCTTTTTCCAATAAGCTCTGTCAACAAGACCTCAGTCAGATGCCCTGAGGCAGTGGTGAGTGTACCTGCTCCAGAGCTAATCGTTGCACCTTCTTTCAGTTCTAGAGGGAGTTTTATAAGTCTCTGCAGCAGGCAGTAACACTCTTTTCAGAAGCAGTGTGCGAGATGGTACCTTTCTCTCTCAAATTAGAGGTCAAAGATGCCAATAAGAACTCAACTGGCTGCTTCTCAAAGATTTGTGTGACCAGTCATCACAGCATCAGTATCAGCATTTGAGGCATCTGTTCCCAAGAGTGGGAGCTGATTGCCTCCCAGAGGTGTCTTCTCTGAAGATGCTATAGCTGCCACTTCCCGTACCTACTGCAGAACTCAAGCATGTTCTTGCTTTAAGGTTAGCTCTATGACCACTGCCTCCTTTTTTTGAGTATCAAATGCTGCACTTTTCCACTGGTACTGGGGTTCTTTGCAGGACTTTGCCCCTGAGACAGTCACAGTTTGAAAAAAGGTGTCCCAGGTGAAAAAGTGTTGAGACTGTTTCCTTGTTCTGTGGTTCAAAGTTCACCTCTTCACTTTGCCATTGCCATCGACTGCAAGCAGGATGACCTGCAGACCATGGTCTTTGAAAGAAACTTACTTCTGGGGGTGGCCAGTGGTCAAGATTCAGATTTTCAATCTTTTACAAATCCCTTTTCTACATCTGGGCTATAGAGGACAATATATCATTGGGCTAGAAAGGATAGGACTCCTGTAAGAATTCACCTTTTGAAGGGCTCAGAAACCTCTTGAAATAAAAGGATATATTTCACAAAGAAATTTGGAGTAATTCTTCTAGTACAGAAAGATCTAGCCGAAGACAGTGCACCTTAATCCACATTTGATACTCCACAAAGCAGTGTGGTTTCTCCTGTGAGTAAAGAACTTGAATGATCCATGTTTAAGAAGCAGGAATGAAAGAGAGTGGTGTGTTCTGTGTAAATTGAAAAAGACACATCCTGTGGAATTTGTTCATGAAGTTGTACATGTCAGTAAGATATCAGTGAGAATTTTGTCTCCATAAGGTGAAAATTTTACTCCCAAGGCTGCTGCTTTCTAATAAAAACATTGCTTAACTAAATTTCTTCTCTACATTCCTTTCAATTATCACTGGGCGAAATCAGCCAATTTCTTTTATTAGCTATTTCAAAGAAATCAATTAAAGAGTTCTAATTACCATTTTAAGTCACAAGCTTTGTTAATGAAGATTGTTATTTTTATTAACATTATCTGCCATGTCTAGCTTTTGCTTGCTTTAATTTTCATTGTCAAATTGAAAAATAAGGGTTTGCTACAGAGGGAAATTTATTAATTCCTACCAACAATAGATTGAAAAAACCCCATGTTTATAAGGCTTCCTATCACTTTCGTTATCACTTTTCTGTTCTGAATTAAGTGACAAAGAAATAAAAGAACGAAGATGATGGGAAGGACAATTACATTTGTTCAGATTGCAACCTTGTTAAGTTCTCACCATTTTAGATTTTCACCCAAGGAAGGCATACAGCAGCCCCTGCAGTGTCAAGGTCCCCCAGCATGAGGACATGGGGTGAATGTGTTCTGGTTCTTTCGACCCTGTATATCTAGATATTCTTTTCTTGTAAATAAGGTGCAGAGTGGGAGACATGGAGAGTAATTGTGTCTTGGCTGGGTAGGCAACAAGAAGCCAATTATGCACAGTTCCTGGCACTCCCAGCTGAAATATGGCTTCTGTTACTATTTACAGCATGCTTTTTCTTTGGTGTCACTTTATATCGTTAACCTCAGCCAGATACAGTACTGTTCGCTTCCTGCCCCAAGCTGTGCTCAGCATTGTTGGGTGTCTTTAAACAGGTATGAAGGTTCATGCCAGAGTTTCAGTTTTGTGTGGAGAGGTATCTGTAAAAATAGCATTCTTATTATCCAAATTGACTGGAAAACATAGGAGATACCTAGATTCACTGACAGGTGGATATGTTAAGCACTTCCTTGTAGCGCAGATTATAAAAGATAATCAAACCTTGGTTTAGAGAGAGCTAAAAAGAAGGAAGTGTTTCTTGTATATGACTTGGTAAGTCAGCTGGCAGAGCCCTTGCACAATCTACAGGGTGCAATTCTGAAGAGCCCTGCTTCAATGCTATTACACTCTGTCCTTTTGCATGTCCCTGGGCACACAGGAATACTTTTTTGCTAAATTATGGTCTGCACAGCAGCCTTTGGCCCTGATATGGCAGGAGTAGCTTGAGCAATGTAGAATAAGAGCAAGATGATATGCTGCCTCCACAAAAACGTTTAGCCTTTGTATATAGCTAATGTAAGCCTGGTTCCCTCAAGCATGTAACTAGTTACACAGGTGTTGCAGCTGAGCATACATGCCTCAGAATTTTTTAATACCATGTTACCAGGTTGCTGCTTGAATTTGGAAATTAACCATATTGCGAAAGTGCTTTCAAATTTTGAGAGAATGAGAATAAGACATGACTTTTTTTTTTTTTTTTAACCCGGGGGAATTTTATAAAAATGATGGGTCCAAAGAGTTGTGGTGAGTGGAGTTAAATCCAATTGGTGGCTGGTCATGAATGGTGTCCCCCACAACTCAGTGTTGGGACCATTTCTGTTTAACATCTTTATTGATGATCTTGATAAGGACATAGAGTATATCATCAGTTAGTTCGCAGATAACACCAAGTTAAGTGGGAGTGTCGGTCTGCGTGAAGATAGGGAGGCTCTACAGAGAGACTTGGATAGATTGGATCGGTGGTCCAACGTTAACGGGATGAGTTTCCACAAGGCCAAGTGCCAGGTCCTGCACTTGGGCCACAACAATCCCCAGCAGCGCTACAGGCTTGGGGAGGAGTGGCTGGAGAGCTGCCAGTCAGAGAGGGACCTGGGGGGGTTGATTGACAGCCGGCTGAACAGGAGCCAGCAGTGTGCCCAGGTGGCCAAGAAGGCCAATGGCATCCTGGCTTGTGTCAGCAATAGCGTGGCCAGCAGGGACAGGGAAGGGATCTTACCCCTGTACTCGGCACTGGTGAGGCCGCCCCTCGATTCCTGTGTTCAGTTTTGGGTCCCTCACTCCAAAAAGGACATTGAATGACTCGAGCGTGTCCAGAGAAGGGCAACGGAGCTGGTGCAGGGTCTGGAGCACAGGTCGTAGGGGAGCGGCTGAGGGAACTGGGGGTGTTTAGTCTGGAGAAGAGGAGGCTGAGGGGAGACCTCATCGCCCTCTACAGCTACCTGAAAGGAGGGTGCGGAGAGCTGGGTTTGAGTCTCTTTAACCAAGTAACAAGTGATAGGACAAGAGATAATGGTCACAAGTTGCGCCACGGAAGGTTTAGACTAGATATTAGGAAGTATTTCTTTCTAGAATGGGTTATTGGGCGTTGGAATGTGCTGCTCAGGGCAGTGGTGGATTCCCCATCCCTGGAGGTGTTTAAGAGTAGGGTTGACATAGCACTGAGGGATATGGTGTAGTTGAGAATGGTCAGTGTTAGATTAATGATTGAACTAGATGATCTTCAAGGTCTTTTCCAACCTAGATGATTCTGTGATCCTGTGATTATGTGATGTAGGATTTTAGGATATCTTATTTCTATTCACATTTCAAAGACTTGTTTGAGCAGTTAACATTCACCTATTTCATTGCTGTCATTTAAGGTTCAGGTATTTACAACTTTCATTCAGTCAAAGTTCAGTTGAATGCAGGTGAAGGGTTAGAAGTGAAATTGGTAAACTGAGTTCTTGGCTGTTAAAAAGAAATGCACAGCAGAGCCCTTGTGGAAAAACTGCACAGACAGTCCATAGCTGCTTTTGTGCTCCCTTGTAACCAGCTTTACCATGGGCCAGTTCTCCAGCATTCATCAGAGCATTGTAAAACTTGATCTAATGTATACAGACTGCCAGCAGCTGTGAAAGTCCATCTTTGCAGTCTGGTGCTCTCTCCCATCTCTGACAGAATCTCCAGTGTCAGATTAGGGTGAGGTGGCACAGGCCATGCAGCCGTTGATGAACCTTCTGGGTGGCAGGGCAGTGGGGTAGCCCTACTGCAGCTGAAAACCGTCATACCTGAAATCAGTCTTACCTGAACTAAGGGTCAACTCTGTCTTCTGACAAGGCTGTAAACAGATGTAACCAAGTCTCTCCCCAAGAAATCCCCAGGTTTCATTTCAGAAGAATGTTTTTGTGGCAAAGCAGAACTTGACATTTCTGCTGCTGAAATCTGTTCCTGCTAATAATACCGTCCAAGTTAGGAGGAGTTAAGCAATATTAGATGGCATGGCTTCTTCTTCAAATGCTGAGAAACTTTTGCTGATAGTGAGATGATCACCAATTACCTAGCAAACAGCAATTGTGTTTGAAAAGAGGGAGTTGTTTGGGTTTTTTTTCCTTCTTTTTGCTTTGTTGTAGAATTCTAGTATCAATAGGATAATATCAGGCTGGAAAACTCTGTGGTATCAACTTTAAAATTATTTGTCTTACAGCCATATAGTTTGAAAAAGCATTGTTTAGATGAGTAACTAATTGGGGAGTTTAGTAAATACTTCCAATGTTGTTTTATGGGTACAATGATTTATTCTAGTTCTCATGAAGGAGACCTGATTTCCCAGATCAGCTTTTATAGTAGCAGTGCCAGCTGCTGAATTCAAAGATGTAAATCTCCATAACAGTGATCTGATAAATGGTCTGAAGTTTCCTGTAGAATCTTTCCTAGCTGTGCTGTATGTGAACATTGTCTGTTCTTTAGGAGGAAATACGTCCACAGTTTGAAGCCAAGTACTCCAAGAAAGAACGAATGAACCCCATATCTGGGAAGCCAGAGCCTTATCAAGCATTTGCAGATAAATGCAGCAGACTCGTCGTTTCTGCATCTGGAATATTTTTTATGGTTTGAGAACTTTTATTTATTTACCTGTTGAAAAACCACGAAATAACATTATCTCTGCTGAAAGATGATGGAGATATTGGATATGACTGCTTGAAAGTGAAATAAGCTCTAGCACATTTACTTCAGGCTGAAAATCCGTGTGTAGCAAATCACCTGAGTTTCTGTAAAGTCCTACACTAGTTTACTCTTCACTGACTCTCACAGATAGTTAAGTCCTTCCTTCAAGGCTATACACATAATACTGTTATATGTAGCAACACACGTGCTTGAATAGTGATGCTATCACATTTAGGCACCAACTTCAGCTGACTGAATTAGTTTACTGATTTCTTTGCCTCCCCTGTGTAGACAGAACAGACTGATGGGGAGAGATGCCGTGGAAGAGGCAGTTGTTTTTTGTAAACTACAGAGAACCTAACTAAGGTACCTAGAGTGCTTAATGATGTTAATATGTCTTAGTTTTTGCATGTATTGAAGAGGTAAGGAACGAGGGTTCACATTCCTAGTGTAATTGAAATGCAGAAAAAGATGTTTCTTGTCTAAAATGAGGCATCTCTCCCCCTTCCAAAGTGCAAAACTAAATGTAACAGCAAAATCTCTCCTAACAGAGAGCTGCATGCCCTTTTGCTGAAATGCCTCCTACTTCACTGAAGTGGTTATTCACTGTTTTTCACATGGAAACAGCAGTTGTAGGATTGGTCTTGAAAACACAGCTGACATCAACTCAGACCCTCATGGAATTTACTAGGGATTTTCCAGAAATCTAGAAAATTCTATATGTGTATAACTTCAGGAGCTATGGAGAGCCAGGTAGGTGAGGTAGCCCAGCAAGTTTGTGCTTGAACCAGATGGGAGGGAACAGGGCAGTGGACTTGTAAGGAAACTGGTGGCTTCAAAATTATCGAAAGCAATCTTGGACAAAAAGGGCAAAAGCATTATTGAGATGAACATTCAATTAGCTTAGCTATACCTCAGTTGCCTATGATAACCTTGGAAGACACCTGTCTTTTGCAAATAACCATCTGTCTTCTACTGAAGAAACTCTCTCTCCTTATCTAATAAGATGGCTAATGGGTACTGTGTCAGAGTTTCTATGAGTCACCCATGTTAATTCCCAACTGTTTGTCCTTTAGGTGGCTTGCTAAATTGTGACATAAATTGGTCATGATGGAAAACAGTTCTCATTTAGTGCTCAACTGTTGCATATGGAGCAGCAAGTGATTTAGCAGCCTGGCTCAGCTGCATGGCTTTCACATTATAACTGTCACATTTGCTGAAAGTCTCATCAGAGAAGAAATTACAAGGGCAATTGAATTTGTTGCCTTCCCTAGATAGAATATTTCCAGAACTGTAGCAAGAAACAGCTTGCTAGGATGGCTTGCCAGGGTTGTTGTTGAGGCAGTGCTTACAAATGGAGACATTTTTCCTATAAGCCCATCAAAACAAAATCCATCCCAAATATGACACCATCAAGCTGAGACATCAGCTTGAGACTAGCCTTTGCACACTGCAGAACATGTGTTAAGGAAAATTTCTAATTTCAAGAGTTGGCAACACTGTTTCCCGCATTAATGCTAAGGGAGAGGTACATTTTCAAGAAAATGTTTAAAATTAAAAATTATTTTAATAATGATTTTCAAAGATAATTTGCATCATGGAAGGTAAAAATAATTTCACAGTAAGAATATTCATATTAAAACCTTTCTCAGGAATCAAAATGGATGTGTTAAGTCTTTCAGTTAATTGTTCTGTTTTTCAGAGTTTCAGGAAGAACTTAACTCCTGTTCTATTGAAAGTTTTCAGGTTCTTCTTTCTGATTTTTCTTCCTTTAGATCTGTGTGGTGATTGCTGCTGTTTTTGGCATTGTTATTTACCGTGTTGTGACTGTCAGCACTTTTGCTGCCTTTAAGTGGGCTTTAATCAGGAATAACTCTCAGGTTGCAACTACAGGGACTGCAGTGTGCATCAACTTTTGCATCATCATGCTACTGAATGTGGTAAGTAAAACTAACATATCCAAAGCTATACCTGAGCCATCAGATTGGTAGATATCTCAGTCCACAGACCACCAAATGATGGTCTGTTCCTTTTTCAGCAGGAATGGAGTGTCTTGCTAAGCCAGACATGGCATTACTGTTTATGGACATCAATCACTATTTCTGTAAAGTACAAATCCAAACCAAAAAACATTAAAAAGCACACAAAAAAAAGTGTTTTGAGTGTTCTAAAAAATATTTTAGGGAGACAGGTCCATACTCCTGTTTTATCTTCTGCCTATTTTTTTCCTTTCATATGTTTGCAGGTTTCACTACCTTTCATTAATGTTCTTCTTTTTAATTAATGTTTTGATGTTATTTTGTAAATACAGTGGCCAAGCTTAGTTCTTATTTACACTAATTTCAGCAGTTCCAGCTTCAGTTTTCACAGTAGTTTACCAGTGAGGATATGCATATACAGCCACAACGTCTGTATGCAGAAGTCCCTTGGTCTGAAAACTTCATGAGTCATGAGCAGACATGACTTGCTTCATGATCTGCCTATGATCTCTGCCAGTGTAAACCAGAGGCATGGTCCGGCTGCACTGCAGGGGGGCTGGCTGAGGTCAAGTTATTGTTGTGAACTGATTTGGAACCAGACTTGGGACAAAGACAAAAAGGGAATTTCTATGTGGTAACAGCCCCAATAAGACAGTATAGCATAGATTAGATGGGGAATGAGTTTCATCCTTCCATCAAGATGCAGAAACTTCTGTATATTGCTGTGATAGCAATGTGTCTTCTATTACTTGCTGTTGGCAAGAAGTGTATGGCCTTTCACTATCAGGTTTTTGTCAACTGACATTATGAGAATGCATTTTAAGGGTGAAGAGGGATCAGCCTATAAACTATCCAGGTACTGGAGCCAAGGCAGAGTATCTCTACCTGCTCAGCAGCGTCTTTTGCAAAAAACATGTTAGGCTTTGCTCCAGGAGATAAGCTACTTACTTCCTAGGGGAAGTATGAAGTGTTATTTCAGGCCTGCACATTTCCAAGTGCTGGCTTGGACTGTTTTCTTTCCTGTGCAATATGCAAGCATTTCTATAATCTAAAAATTAATTTTAACAGCCCCTTGTTTTATGTAGCTGGAAATTACAAGAGACTTTGCTGCAGGACTTCACTTCTCCCTTTGGCATAGGCAAGACTAGACTGGTGACTAGGACAGTCTGTCAGGAACTATTGACTTTCCTATGTTTTCCCTAAAGTGGGACTATAGGCTGAGAAAGGTCAGAAAGAAGTGGTGGAAGCTGTTATTTTCTCTGAATTTGTACTGAGGGCTCTTTCTTTTATGTTATTTTTTATTTATTGTTTGTTTTCTGTAGCTTTGGGGGATTTTCTTTAATCCACCTAGAGCACACAATAATCATATAAAAAATAAAAAGAAAACTATATATATCTATGTCAGTACAACAGCCATTTCCAAGCTCAGTAGAAGTCATTGTATATGCAGTGAAGCAGCAACAAAGAAATACTGCACAAACAAAATTATTTGGTTCTCAAAGAGTTTTACAGCTTAAAGAAATTTTTTAAATAATGGAAGATGGATTGAAGGTGCCTTTTGAGAAGTTTTGTTTTATTTCCTAAAAACATCAAATAAGTAGAGCACTGCAAAGATGGATTTCTTAAGCCTTATACTCATTACCATGCAGTAAACACCACAACCTTAGGTCTGGATATAGCTCATGGAAACAAAAGATCCTTCAAATATAAAACTGCAGGAGCTTTTCAAAAGAAGAATTTAAGAACATAATCCCTCACTTCTCATGATGGATTAATATAGTTTACTGAAGGACAGTAGTGGGATTTCTTTTGGAAAAAAAAAAATTCTCCAGGAGCAATTCAGGTAGTTCAATCCTCTACAGACTGTAACTCAAGAAAAGTATAATAGTAGGAGAGCAAGCAAAGATACTGTAATAAAACCAGAATGGACCAAGATGTATATAACAGTAGGGAATTCACTGCTAGGAATGCTGGAAAATTGCCACTGGTTCTGATACAAGTTGACAACCTCTCTAGACATCAGGGGAAAGGTCTAGACCACAAGTAACTCCTGGAGTAGATGCTCTGAGAGCTAGATACATACATCGACACATCCATCATGTCAAAATGAAATGACCTTCAAGCATAAGATCTCACAGATAATCCTGAAGCCTGACCTGGGAACAATCATTAGCTTTACCTAGGTTAATAAAACCTGTTAATTCTAATGATATCACCCATAGAAAATTTGAACACAGAACCAAATATGATCCTAAACAAGGCCCCTTGGAACTAGTAGAGATAAACTGCAGTAGCAGATAATTAGATCCGAACACTTAACAGAATCTCTAATGCAGTCTTACTGTTCCAGGAGGAATAGCAACAAAATACAGTTTTGATATCCCCTTCTGCAGAGCAGTGTACATTTGTAAAAGAGCACACTCCCTGTTGGAATCAGGATATAAACCACCCAGATATTTAGCACTTTTACAGTTGCCCTTAAGAGATGCTTTTAAACCTAGAAGCAGCCACCTTTTTCATTACTTGAAACAAAACTGTTTACTCCAAAGGCAGCAAAAAGCTATTCTAAGCAAGAATTGGTAGTTAACATGGATGAGATAATTCAGGATGATTTCAGTTCTTAAGCAGGCAATTTGATCTGTAAATTCTACATAACTCAATTTAAGCAGGCCTTTATAAGGATAGCTGCAAATGAGAAGAAACATTGCTGATACGCACTTCAGGAATAAGTAAGCACTTGAGCCTGCATATGCGGAGCTTTGTATCCCTGTAGGCATCAGGGAGAATTAAGGACATTTAGGGTTTTGTGGGAACAGGCTCCAGACTCAATTAAAGCAAATGGAAATCGTTGTATTAATTTACACTAATACTGATGTTGGTGGTGATGTACTTACAGGTTTAAAACCCCTTTGAAAATACTAATTGTGAAAACCCTCCAAGCTTGTTTTTGTAAACTTTATGAAGTTAACAGTCTCCCGGAGAGTTTGAGAGCATGGTATCTGCTAAGCACAGAAAATACCATTTAGGATTTAGAACAGTGTCACTGACTCAGAGTAAGAAATGTGTCTGGTGGTGGGGATTACTAAAGACTTTCTCTGAAGCAACCCTCTCTCCCCAGTGTCTTTCATTTCAGCACCAAAAAAATCCCAAACAAAACCAAAAAGCGCCAAATACCCAACCTAGCAGTGCATGCTCTTTCTGGGGTAAATTTTTTTGTGGGATGTTTCATAAATAACTAAACAAAAATCCCAGTTGTGCTATTGTTCTGCTTTGTGTTTTTGGAAAAATCATCTCACCTTTTTTCACTGTGTATGTAAAATAGGGACAGTGACAGTATTTTTTTCTCCATATATTGTGGATGAAAAGAGCTGAGTATATGCTTTAAAAATATTACTGTTCCTTGTTTGATTATATCATTATTGTCTTATTACTACATAGTTTTATTATCATCATTATTAGAACATCAGAGAGACCATCTGGATGTCAGATATAACATGTAAGAGCAGTTACTCTACCTAGAAAGCAGTTTAATATTTTTGAGCTGGTCACATATCTAAGAAGCTGTTTCTTCTCTCTTACAGCTGTATGAAAAGGTTGCTCTTTTCCTGACAAATTTAGGTAAGCAGTGTTAAATACAAAATTGAGTTATATTGTACTGATTGTTTGGTCCCTATACTGTGATAGCAATCAAACTGTCTGTATAAATATGAAAATTCCTGATTAATTTACAATCTATAGGAATCAGTGTTTTTCTTAAGTTTATAATAAAGAAGTATACAAACTAATCTATAGTGCCATTCAACCAGTGATGACAGCAGTCACCCACCTGCCATGCTTGGTTCTTGTTCCAACCCCTGACCTTGTAAGAACTTGAACAAATCCTTACCTTGGGGGAAAAAGCATGACTTTTCAGACAGACTCAGCACTCACAACCCCGAGGTTTTGTGAAGACCTGGAAATGGGGGAATGACTTCTGAAAGGCAAATTTTTAGCTTGAAACTCAGATGCTTATTGACTATCAAACATACACCTTGTTTGTAGGGGGGCAGTAATTTGGAGGGAAAATAACTAGGTGACTCATCCACACTACCAAAACTTAAAGTCTAATGGTGTTCTAAGTTTCAGTAATTTTTTCAGCTCACCCATAAAGGTAATCTTTATGCTAGAGTAAGGACATGTTTCCTGAGGACAGCATGTATTGTCACAGGGGTGGCAATAGGCTATCACTCATATACCCATGGCTCAGGCAGAGTCTCTGGAGTTCCTGATCATGCTGGAAGATTGCAGTAGTTGGTGGCAATTGGCAAGGACTCTTTAGTGTCAAGAAGCCTGAAACGATACTCTTGCTGAAGGCCTGTTAAGCAAACCATATTATGGCATGTGTAGAAGTGATTTGAGGAGATTATTTTGCACTTCTAGATACATGCATACATTGATGATGTTCAGAAGGTATTTTTGACCAGGTGGACAGATTTTGGTGTTTACTTAAAGAATACACACAGCTGATTTTAGCTAGTGTCAGGGCTTTTCTACATCTGGGAAGTCATAGGTGATATGTGTAAGCACATCTGTGTAAAATAGCATTTTATTCTGTTGTTTCTTATTAGACTGAGACTTCTCATTTGTATGCTGTGAATTTAAAATATTTTTGCCATCCTGTATCCATGGAAAAGATACCTGCTAGTTACAGTTGAGAAATATGACTTTCAAGTATGCAATTTGCACAGGCTATGCCCTTTTACTCCCTGTGAGACCCTGGGGGCAGTAAGATATGGTTCAGAGACCTTGAAGCTTGATTACTTTCTGACAGGTTGTCATCAAGGTAGGTCTGTTTCTTGAAACCTGTGCAGAAAGCACTTGTATGAAAACTCAGTGGATCAAGCTGTTCTGTGTTCAGACCGTTTTTACTCTGATGGACTAAGTAACTGATTTGGTTTGAATGATCTTTATCAGTTTAATAAGCCCAGAGTGGAATTGGCAGCAAAGCTACATTCCAGATGTCCTCTTCAGCCTTTACATGACCTTTTTCAGAGTTCGTGTCCATGCTCCTCCAGAGCATTGCCATTGTCACTGATGGGCATATGAGCAAAGCTTCAGCTGCAGCAGCTTTGTTAAAATCAAACTTGTCCTTCCCACAGATTGGCATCAAAAATCCACAATGCTTTATTTCTTTCTACTTAGCTAAATATGTATGTACTGGCATACACACAAACTTGGGTTTCTTGACAGGCATTTCCAAATCAGTAACCAGATTTATGGTTCTTTTTATGGTTTTGTTGATGCATCTGTATGAAATTTCCTCATGAGTATGGCATCTCTAATTAAAGAGAATCTAGTTTATTGTTGTTGGTTTTGTACTTCCAGTACTTTACTGGAGGCTCCTTTGGAGGTGGTGTATGAGAGCTACCATTATGATACTCAGAATTACCATTAGTACCTCCACTTCTTCTTTGATTACTGTTGTTCACATCAATGGTTGACTAATAACAAGCTCCTGCCAACTGGAAAGTAGTTCCAGGACATAGTACTGGTGTATTGGCATAAAAATTGTTTTGTTAACAAAAAGTTGTTTTGATGGAGATTGAGGGCCTACCTGAAGGGAAGAATATGTCTTCCCCTTTCCCATTTGCTTTACCCCATCCATTGCAAAATATTTTTTCTCAGTCTTCTGTGATGAGTTTCCTGGAACAAGTAAAGTGAGAGTCATGCAGTGGCACTCCACTGATACCTGTCTTGAGTCCTTAGGTGCCAACATGGTGGGCAAATCCATGAAACAGAATTATGAGGAGGATTTGCTCCAGTTCAGTGTGAAGCCTCTAACAGAAAGGCACTTATGTAGCTTGTACTAGGGTGCTTTCTGGTAATGTCATTGTGGTAGGTTGTAGAAGAGGAAACAAGAGAAAAGACTGAGCCTGTAAAGCACACAGCAATCCAGGAGGGATTTTTAATATACCCATTATCTCAACCACTTTCTTACAGTCTTCTGGGAATATACATATCCAGATATCAGAAGAGATTTCTAAGTCTTTACAAGCTCACTTGCTGTGTGTTGCTTTTGGATACAATTTCTTCTGTCACTTTATATTTTGAAATCAGCAGGCTAATTTATAAATACATTGCCAGCTCTGATAGGTGTGTGCAGCCTTTGTGCCAAGGGAAATTGTTAATCTGATTAAACCTCTGAAACTCTGCTGTCTTTCTTCACAGAGCAGCCTCGTACCGAATCTGAGTGGGAGAACAGCTTCACTCTGAAAATGTTTCTTTTTCAGTTTGTCAATCTGAACAGCTCTACCTTTTATATAGCATTCTTCCTTGGAAGGTAGGATTGATGTCTGCACCTTGATATGTGCAAAATGAAGTAGAGAGATGAAATAAAATTGTCTGTAATGAAACAAAACAGGACCATATTATCACACATCTCAAAAAGCAAATTTTGTACTAGCAAAGCAGGACAGGCTGCAGTTTTATTTTCCTTTCAAAAGCCCAGAAGTAGACGTAGTTTTTCTTTCCTAACACCACAGTGACTCAATGCTTTTAACAGTTTCACTACAGCAAACTGATGCATCCCACAATACTATACATTCAGGTCACTTCATGCTGCCTTTATGTGTGTAATTTGCACAGGTAAGTAAATAACACTGTCTTTTTCTTTCAAAATAGAGTAAAATAGTTCAGTTGGAAGTGACTTACAACAATCTAGTCCAACTGCCTGAATACTTTGTTGCTTGCATTATGTGATTTGGACTATTAAGAATGAATTATGAGCTCTCTGGGATTTTTCTCACAGAAAATGAAATATATATATATATATATATATATATATGTATGTATGTCTCTTTTTGCATGTCCCCTAAAAGCAAAAGACGAGCCTTTGAATACAGAAGGCTTGAGTAGAAGAATCCATCAGTATGGATTATTTGCATGTGGGAAGTTGTGGGAATCATTCTGGGAGAAAAAATGGGAGAATAGTAAGAAAATTATGTTTTCCTAATGAAAACTAATATTTTCACTGATTTCACAGAAAGCCAGATATCACAGCTCGCATTATGGTGTAAGAAAATGGACTGGCAGTTGAAAGCCATTTTCCAAACTGACATGACCACTTTTATTCAGATTTTCTCTCTTCTCTACATATGCTGAATGTCCAAAAGCAGAATATTTGGTATTGAAATCAAACTGAAAGTAAAAATATACTTAGTCCTTCATGGACATTATTCTAGGAATCCTCCAAAACGTTTTGCAGCATAACATCTTTTATAGTTATATCGATCGCACTAAGATGACCTTAGATTAAAACAACAGTGTGATCTTTCTTCTGCTACTGTGAACATAGTTGATATATATTCCTGTGTTGAAGATTTACAGGACACCCTGGTGCCTACTTAAGGCTGATAAACCGGTGGAGACTGGAAGAGGTGAGTGTTCACTAACTACAGACTGATTTATTTGCTGCCCACAGATGCAGTGAATGCAGGCAGAGGCAGACACATCATTCTGTCTAGGTATTTTTGAGTGTGTTGTTGGGTTTTCAGTTGCTCTCTAACTCCACACGGATGCTTACAATACCAACTGCTACAAAAACATCTACATACTGATATAAGTGTCCTTTTCAATGCTAACAGCCTTAGTTTTTCATCATGTTTGGATAGTGTTATCAAATGGTTTAAACATTACTCACATTTTTGCATTGGTAATATTTCATCCTTAAAATGAATCAGTCAGATATGAATCTGATTACTTTTTGCTTCTAAATAATCCTTTCTTCTCAGCTTTTCTAGCCTTGCTGACCAGGGAGCTAAAATAATAAAATAATAACTTAAAAATTCAGACACCTAAAATTAACTTGAAAGTTGATCAAAACAACAGAACAAACTTTCCAAAAGAGCTACTGGCATAATGATCCATGCCTATAAAACCAAATGGATTTGGGGAGCAATGAGAGGTTGGCTTTCCAAGTCACTCAAGGACCACTCACACTTTTTTTGGCAAATACATTCAGAATTCAAAACCGATTTGACAGTTACTGGAGGTGAACAGCAGAAGTTTTTGGACCAGTCATGTTGTTTCCAATGCTGCTATTTGCACACTCAAATACTGTGGTTTCTTTCATGCTTGACAGCTGAATTAGTGAAACAACTTTGCAAATACATGACAAATGGCAAGTGGAAAATGCAGATCCTTAGACTGCCTACATGAATTTACAAAAACTTCCAGATATATAAATATTTTGGTTAATAGAGGTCATCTGGATACTAGCAAAAAAAGGAATAATTTGAAAAGCCTTTCTAATTGTGAAGTAGGGAATTCTGTACATTCAAGGAAAGAATACTTGATAAATGGGCAGACAGAAGTTCACTGAACATGCTTCCAAAGTCTGAGAGGGGCTGAGCTGACCTAACAGCTTGCTGCTGCCAAAAGAAGATAATTCTGCTCTTCCTTTGAGCCTTTCCCCAGAAGTTTGCTCCTTCCTCTTCATCTGCACTGGCTCTAGCTTGTCCAACCCTGTGAGGAGCCTATTCAGTTCCCTGTATCACCAGGAAACTCTTCCTTTTTCTGGCTGAATTTGTTTTCTGATGAATTACTGGGCTGAATCACCTCACAGAGGGATCTGAGAACACAGAAAGAACCTCACCCCTCTGCAAGAGCAGAGATGGGAGAAAGGAAGAACCAGGTTTGGGAGGAAGTGCAACAGTGAGGTGTTACAGGTTGAGTCAGTTGCTGGTAGAAGCTACTAGTAGTAGTCCCTACTATTTTGCTTTTCTCAAAGAAAAAAGGTCTAATGATAAATGTCTATTTAAAAAAGTCTTGACTATTGACCATATCTGTGCTAGATCTTATTAGGAACATAATTTAGAATATAATGCCCAGATAATCTCTCCAATAGCCCTCTCTTCACCTGTTGGATGAAGCCAAGTGCAAGACATATAATAACATCATATTGTCTAGTCCAGTGTCCATGGGCATATTCAGACCACAATTCATGTATTGGTGATGTTATGGTTGTAACATCACTGCTACTTCATTAGTAACTGCACCTACCTCTCTTAGGTTATATTGGCTCGCATGACTTGATTCCTAAAACCAGAAGGATAATGATTTAATAATAATGCTAGAGAATTTAATTTTTAAAAATAAAAAAATATCAGCTGCCACCCTGTTAATCTAAAGAAAAGCTGAATGAGGTCAACAGAAACCTCAGCAGGGACCCAGGTTCTGAGCACTGTATAATGCAGTATGTGTAAAAAATTCATATCACATTTTGTTACAGGTCATAACTAATTTTTCTCCCTAAAAGTTAAAGAGAAATAGTTAACACTTCTATGACAGTGATCTGTTCAACTTATCCATAATACCTGGGATTTAACAATACAGCTTGAATTCCACTGTTTGGATCCGCAAAGTCAGTTGTACTGTTTGAGGGCTTTTTGTCCTTTTCTGTTTCTTCCAATACTAGATGAAAAATTGTGGAATGACCTAAATTTGTACTATCTGAGCAAATCTCCCCAAAGTGATACCACTTCTTCAAGGTCTGGAGCCACTGCTAAAGCAGGCAAGCACTAATCAAGAGACACTAGGAAATGTTGTTTGACAGAGATTTTTAGTTCTTCAAGAGAATACTTTTGCATGGTCCAATCAGTCATATACATTAAATAGCACTTAATAATCAGTATTAGGTCTATCCCCTAGGCATAAACTGTTTGCCTGTGCAGCCAGGAGGAATTTTCTCTTCATTCTTTGGCTTGATGCAGAGTCAGCCTTCTGTGCCACCCACAGTTGCACAACATATTAGAAACACAGATGTGAAAACTGCATTGGTTTCAGCTGATTCCGACCTCTGCAGTGATTTAGACAGTAGGCTTAAAAGGCTGATCGTATGGTAGAGTCTCATATGTTCCAATGAGTTTATATTTTTTTTAAACAATAAAGATGATGGCATTTAATGTCCTTTAAGTAAAATATGTAATATCCATTTCTAGTCTTCAAGAATTGCTTTAAAACTCAGCATTATTGCTGTATAACCTTTTGTTTCTTTTTTTCTGTAGTGCCACCCTAGTGGATGCCTTATTGATCTTTGTATGCAAATGGGTATTATAATGGTTTTAAAACAGACCTGGAATAATTTCATGGAACTGGGCTACCCGTAAGTAAATATAATGCCTATGCTTCTGTAGATCACAGAAGAATACTGTGGATGATTTCCTTATGACCAGTTACATAAAAGCAAGTTACAGTAGTCATTACAATAGAAAATCCCCCCTAGGATACAGAACTCTTAAGACAGATTTCCAGACATATAGAGGTAGATGGTGTTTGGGTATTTTCTCACATTGGACATAGTTTGCAAAAGTGAAAGTGTAATATAAATATTAACAAATCAATAATATATGGGAAGTACTTGATTCAATTAAATTGCATTCTGTGATTTAAAACTCCTTAAAAATAACTGTAAGACCACTGTATTCCTTACACAGGAAATATACGTATCATTTTTTAGCTATGCCAATAAGTTCTAAATTGGATTTCTCCTTGCTGGGTGATAAAAGGTGCCTGAAAGGGCAGGTATGAGTTGGAAAAAATGTACTGCTGGCATATATACTCTCAGAGATCACAAAATGTACTGACTGGTATATTGACAAGTTTCCCAGTGATCTTCAGGGTATTGTGGATGTTCCCTGACTGAAAAGGTTGACAATTATTCATTTCCTATTGATTCATTTCTTATTGATTAGTATTTAATGAGCATGTTTAAGATTAATATAGACAGCTGATGCTAGAGACAGTGTGGCAGGTCATCAAGGGAAATTAGCAAGTGTGAAAATGTAAGAGAGAGCTGCCATTATCAGAAAGTTTGCCCTTGCAATGTTCAGAGGGATTTGCTTCACTGCAGGATCCACAGCAGAGCTAGCGCAGTTTGGTCCCTGAACTGCAGAAACGTGTTTGCAGAAGCGATTTCAGGCAGCCTTAGTGCTGATCACATCTAGTTGTAATGAGAATGGAAGTAAATGATTTAAACGCACTGAGTAATTGGCAGTCAAGGTACTTAAAGCTCTCTATCTTCCCCGGTTTGTGCCTAGCGCTGCTTCCCAGGATTTTGCAGCTGTTAGGGATGGAGGAATTAGCTGGGGTGGAGAGGAGGCAACAGCAGCAGTAGTGTTGATCCTTCTCTCTCTGCTCCCTTCCTCTTTTGTCAGTTTTCATTAGAACTTTCTGCTGCCTATTAATAGGGATTTCAAAACCTAATAAATAGCACAGAGGGAGATTAAAGAAGGTGACTGAAGGAGATAGGAGTTGTTTAAGAACAAGTGATTTAACAGGAATAAACTGCTTCAGATGAAGTCAGTCTCTTCACTTTAGAGTCACAACAAAAATCACAACTCAAAACACACAGTCACAGCAATGTGAGATGCTTCACCTTATTCTGATGAGAGATGTATTTGCTCTCCAGACCTTTCAGTCCACCTTCCAGCCCTGAAATGCTGCAGGCAAGTGCATTTCCTTTTTGTGTGAAAAAAACATGATCATTTCTGCAAAGAGCATGATTGGAGCAAATACCATATAGATGGCCAGAGGATTTGGAGGCAATCCAATAGTCTGTAGTATAGCATCACTGCACCTCTGCCTGTGTGCTGGCTACTGCCTGCCAGGACCCAGGCAGAACCAGCACTGTGGTGCCAAAGCTGATAGCAGAGAATATTTCCCCATAAGACAGCCCGAGGAGAGGAATGCCAGCAGGGTGTTTTGGAGAGTGGCTTTTTGCACCATTTCAGGGTGGCAGCCCAGCTCTGATGCGGGCATGTACTTCCACAGGGACCAGAGACATGCAGGGCAAGTCAGAAGTACCACTGAGTGTTCCTTGGTGACAGGAATCACAGTGCCTGCCATCACATTTCTTACTGATGTATATGACATTGGCTTCCCTTCTGAAATCTCTGTCTGAGATTTAAAATCTAGGTTTCAGAGATATCAGAAAGAGGCCCTAGGGTGTGTGCTAGAGCAATGATTGTTTAGTGAATAGATTTTTAATACAAATACTGGCATGTTACAGTGGTGCTTCTGCTTCATACAAACATCACCTCGAAACCTCTGAAAGTGTGCATCAGTTCTCCTCTCCTGCATAGATACATTTGCACTAACTAAGAAAGTATAAATTATTGCTTCATTTGGCGGTGGAAAATTGCAATTTCAAGTTGATGTTTTTCTGGGAAGAACATACACCCGTATTAAAACCACATAACATCACCTTGCTCACACATAAATCAGAAAATTACATCTGTGAATATCACTAGAAGTATTAGATATTTAGTAACACTGCTTATGGGTTTCCCCTCTCACAAAGAAAGAAGTTAACTGGGATCTATCTCAGCATATTGGTCTCCCACCCACCTCACTCCTCAATTTGCTGCCTTTGCAGAAATCCAGTTCTCAGCCCTCTCACAGGCAGAACATAAGAGGCAAAGTCTCAGAGGGTGATGTGGACTGCAAAGATGTGCCCTTAACTGTTCCACAGTTCATCAGTCATAACCATGGGCCTTTTCAGGCTTTTTATACACTGGCTGCAAGCTGTTAAACCCAAGTATTTTAATAGTTTCTTGTACTTTGGCTTCAAGTTCATGGTTGTGCTTCTAAATTTTTTCTTGCACTTCTAGATTTTAATGGCCTGCACTCAGTTGCACCTTCTTGAAGGAAGACAGGAAAAGCTATAACCTCTCTGGTAAATGGCCTGAATGGAAAAATTATCTCTAAGCTTTAAGAAAACCAATTGCCCAAACCTTTATGCAACTCCAGAAGCTGTTTGTCTACCATTCACAGACCAGACCAGACCAGACAACTTTGAGGGCCAGAAGCAAAGCACAGTCAGGGAAAGGACTGAATTATTTGGGTGAGCCATCACCTTCTATCTTGCTGAGACAAAGGGGCCAACAATAACTTTCAGTAACTTTGGAGAAAATATCTGTCTTTTTTTTTTCTTTTCTTTCTCTCTATACTAACTGTGACTTGCATCCTTTGTTGGTCAAACCAGTGCAACAACTTGACGTGGAGAGGCAAAGGTTTTTATTTCAGATGTGAACACTCATTTTTCTCATCGGACTCAGTGCCTCCCACGGTGCCCCTACCCATGCATTTCTTCAGGAACAGTACCTTCCCTCTGAAGTCCAGTATCGTTCACCCATTTCTTGAGATGGAGATAGCTCTTATGTCAGCCGTCTACCTCTCAGCCACCACATGTTTTCAGTGGTACACACACTTCTTTCTGCCAATGTTTGGCTGCAGACACCATTCAAGGTTGCTTTTTTCCCTTCCAGGATTGCTCAGGGACCTTGCACACTGTAGAGCAATGTAGAGGTGCTGGCTTGCACACAGGAAAGGATCAAGCAGCATTAGCATTCTATTTACTGATTCTCAATTAGAGCTCAACTATCTTCACACAGCATTGCATTCTGCCATATAAACAGATGCTGAAGTGATTTGCCATTGTGTGTAGAGAAAGAGAAGTGAAAAAAAAGACGTCAAAATCCCTCCACCATTTTAACTACATCTAGGTTTGGATAACAGCCCATCAGCTGTATCTATTTTCATACCTATAATGCCATGTCATCAGCCACAGGTATTACTAATGCTCTATTTTCCTATGCATAGGGAAATTAATTTTGCAAGGTATGTTGTGCACACCTAGCATCTTCCAATTTTGTGCTAAATGGCCACTAATATTATTTACCTTGTTTCTTTAATTTATTTGAAAATGTAGGCTAATTCAAAACTGGTGGACCAGGAGAAAACTGCGACAGGAGTATGGCACACAGAGAAAAACAAACTTCCCACAGTGGGAAAAGGACTACAATCTGCAACCTATGAATGCTTACGGACTCTTTGATGAATACCTAGAAATGAGTATGGCACGACCTTTGTTCATTCTCTTTCACTAGATTTTAATTTTGAGGCTTTTTTGTTGATGTAGGCTGATGTATTCTTTTAGTTATTGCTTTATGAAGCTAAAGAGGCTGCAAAATCATTTTTGTTCTCACAGGTCAGGTTAGGAAAGAGAGTGAGTTTGTAAGAACCAAAACAAACCAACGTAGGTGCTGTTTTACTAACCTCATATCTATGAAACACTTATCATTCTGGCTTTGTGGGGGGAAGGCCATTTTCTAAATCAGAGCCCACCTCTTCACCTGCATACATTTCTGAGGAACTTTGCTGTTATTTACTAAAGGATGTTCCCTTGGGCTTTTATTTTTAAGCTGCATGGTACAGACCTGCATGCTTGTTTATGTTTAAAATTCACCATCATTTACTACCTCACATTTACAAAGTAGCTTGCTGCCAAAAGGCATTGCTCTATCCAGAGCAAAGGAGAGGATAACTGCTCAAAGAAATGTTAAAGAACATGAACTTTTGCCCTATGTAACTGAACTACATGTGTCGTTATTGGTTTTTTTTTTCTTTTCTCTCTCACATAATTCTTTTAAAATTAATGGGAAATTTGGCAGCCTGAAAAATCTCCCTCTAGAAACTTACACAAAGTTTCAAACTGCTGCCCATCTGTACAATAAAAAGCAATGTATTCAAGTCCTAATCTTTGCAGGTAATTGAGACATCCTAGTTGTTGCTGGAGTAAAAATGTCCCTTTCTAAATGTAGCTTGTCCACCTCTAAACTTCACTCCGAATTGCAAAATCTAGATGTTGCTGTCCATCCTGGGGACAGATGTGCATTTGTTCTTGTCATCCTTTCTCTGAACTTTTGGCAAGGAATTGGTCACAATTGTCACTAGCCTATTGTATGGTATGGCATAATAAAAACTGTTTGTAAATTTATACATAATATTTGTATGCATATATTACTTGGTATCTTAGACACTGGGATTAGATTTTATCAGTTATACTGTGATCTTTCTTTTTTTTCCTAGTTCTTCAGTTTGGGTTCACAACCATTTTTGTGGCAGCTTTTCCACTGGCACCGCTTCTGGCCTTACTTAACAATATTATTGAAATTCGGCTTGATGCATACAAATTTGTTACACAGTGGAGAAGACCTTTAGCTTCAAGAGCCAAAGATATAGGTGAGCTCTTTGCATGTGTGTTTTTTATGTGTATGTGTTATTTTTAAGGCCAAGCATTGACCACTTCAAGTAAGAGAACATTAAGGTATTTTCAGTCACCTTCCCTATTAACAACACACACTTTGATTGTTCCTTCAAGTTCAAGTATCTGATGCCAATCTACTTATGCAATTAACAGTCTATATTGTAAAATATCTTTTAATTATTTTTCTGGGTGACTTAACAGCCAAGATGTTTTAATAAAGTGATGAGTGTTCTCTGTATGTTTTTCCTTGTGGCAGGCATACTGTGTGAACACATGCTGCTGCTCATTTCAGCTGTAATAACCAGACACAGTAGCTGAAACATGAAAGTCAAGTTAAAGCAGCCACCATTCTGTAAAGGACCTATGTGTTTTATATTTACCAAATATAAAACCAATCTCCCCTGTGACTCAGGGGCTATGCCTACTAGGTCCCTAGTGGGTCAGACAGAGTGGGTGTAGATCCCAAGAGAGAACTTGCTCTCAGTGAGGCACACCTGCATTGCTAAACACAGGGTTCACATAACTTTGAGGTCACTCAGCCACACACTGCTGCAAGGGCTCTCTGAACATGTTTTGACGATAAATCTCTTCTGTCTTTGCAGTGTGCAAAAGCAGAACACCTTTAGGAACAACTCTGTAAAACAGTCATCTGAATCCCTGGTGTCTTCGCAGGGGTAAATAGGATACATCACTGCCCATCTGCATTTCAAAAAACAGTAGCCTACACGATGACATAGCAGAAGTCCAGGCTTTGTGCTCTAAGAATGGTCTACTCTGTACCTAAAATCTGTGTCTGAATAAAGCTTTGTATGTGAACAGTGTGGATCTGTGAGTTTAGGTACAAACCTGGACATCAGCCAGTACACAGTGTACACTGCAGACATAATTCCTGAAAAAACATAAATAATAAAAGCACAGAAAAATATACCTTTTTTTCCCGGCCAATTCAGGTGTGATTTCTCAAAATAAGTTGTATTCACTTCCTATTCAGCAAAGTTTTAAAGGACAGCTTGATGCCTTGTTAAAGTCAATGGTATGTCTAACCTTCCTTTGGTGTGGTTCTTAGTGATGGCCCTCATAACCAGAGTTGCTGTGCGCCTGTACCACAAGATCTGCCAGATGGTTGAGGATGAGCCAAAGAGCCCAGGTGATGCCTCGGGACTTTGTGCCATTGTGCATGCCACGAAGATTTTGATGCTGATGGGTACATGCTGACCAGCTGTGCACAAGTTACATGCAGTACCCCAGTGACAGGCAGATCATGGATTGCATGTATTCCTGGCTACCCTGGCAGACCCTCCTGAGAGGCTGGACAGCTGTCATCATGAGCAGGGAGGCTTACAGCATTTCTTAAAACCTGGTTATGAGGCTTGGTGGAGCCAAGGCCTTCATGAGCGTTTTTGTGGTTTCCTTGAGATTATTTGAAGGATAAACGAAATTCCCACCCAGTGGGAATGGAATTTTGGTTTACTGATGTCCTGCTGTTCAATAAGAAAAAAATATTTTTACTTGGTGACTCTCAGATAGAAACTACATAAAAAAACCTCGAGTGGTGCAGACAACTGCTTCAGAGCATGCACATTGATTCTTGTTTTTCCTGGAGCTAATATACTCTCCTTGTTGAACAGGAATCTGGTACGGGATCCTGGAAGGCATTGGAATTCTTTCTGTTATCACAAATGCATTTGTTATAGCTGTGACATCAGATTTCATCCCTCGCCTTGTTTATGCTTACAAATATGGACCTTGTGCTGGCCAAGGAGAAGCTGGACAAAAGTAAGCTTTTCTTTGAGAAAACAAATGCATATGAAAAATCACTTACTACTTGAATAGATACAGCAGTCTTTGTGTGTGTTCTGATTCCACTAAACCAAATTTATTGTTTGTGTTTAGGTAACAGATATCAGCCACAGATATTGATGCTTTGCATATTCACAGAAGGGGTTGCTGAGTGACTATAATTTATGACAATTCAAGGAAAACATGGCAGAGCTGTTACAGAGATTTGATGTGTGTAAAAGTATGCTGCACAAGCTGCAGTTCACAGCTGGTGTACATGGATATAAGCCTCTTTTCATTCTGAAGCAAGGCTGATATTTATCTGTTACAGATTTAATGATCATTTTAAACTTATTCAGTAGGCTTTTTTTCCTGATGGAGTATTCAGCATGTATTGCTCAAAAAAAAGTAGTGTCTAACAAGAGGAAGCAATTCCCAACTAATAAATCAATATATACTTACAGAGCAAAGTAATTTGTTTTTCTTCTAAAACTAGAGTCCTTAGATGAAATCTTTCAGGAGACATTTGTGAACTGAATCTCTACTGCCTAAGTGGATTTTCTTTCAGTGCTGCTAAACAGTGAGATTATATCAGCGTGTGCACACTACCAGCAAGTATGAGTATAGCTGCTACATGACAACTTTTAAAATCTAGGCTGTTGGACTCAGGGAAGGTCACTGAATAGAGCTGAACACAAATAGACACAGTTTGCAAATTATCTCCTAGCAGCTCCATTAACAAGGACCCTACTGTTCAAAGAAATCCAAGCTAAACAGTAGACAGTGACAGATAGCTTACATTCTGCTATTAGACATATGGCAGATTGATTTTTATTCCCTGCTACAGAAGGCGAGTTCTTCTGTTGCTGCTTTTTACCATCTTTTGGTTGCCAATACTGTCTAATCATACTGATGGAAGAAGGGCAGCTGGTGTGGCAGCTCCTGATTAACATTGCTGCTAACTTGTCCTGCAAGGAGTTGGCATTTTAGTCAGTGCCAGGGGAAATGTTCTGTTTATTTTCATGAAGAGTTAAAGTCCATTTGTGGCTAAAGTATTTGGTCTGGTGCTAGTCGTTCCTGAGCACGTGCCTGTGCTTGTGCCATTTTGAAGATCCATAGGACCTTGAGGCACTGTCAGCAACTTTCCTTGCTATTGATTTTCTCAGGACTACCATGCATGAAAAAACAATACCTTTAGAAATTTTATTTTCAGGAAGACTCAAATAAGATTGACTGGCTTCTGCATAGGGGAAGTAGCTTGGCTCACTAGGGAAGCTCTTATCTTTTCACAAAACTTGTATAGTGATTTCACACTTCTGCTTTTCTGAGTGATTTTCTAGATGAAACCACCAGATAGTAATCCTCTGAAGGAGCCAACTTTGGATAAAAACTATTTATGTCAGCTTTCTGGATATTGTTATTAGTAAGTGCTGTTACAAAAGCAGGAAGCTATTAAAAAATCTACAGGAATATTGAATTTTCTCAAATTAAGGAGTCAAAAAATCTGCTATTGAATAACTTAAATGAGAGAGGTGCTTTATTCTTTCACAAAAACCATCTCTAGGTATTGATCCATATGACACCCAGTAATACTAGAAAAATATTGTAATTAAATTAAGTTCCAAATCGAGTCAGTGTGGAGATTTTGAGACAAAGCCAGATGGTGTTTAAATGCAATTTCTCCAAGACTGTAAAATCCATAGTTTAAAACATGAAGAAACAAACCCTTACTGTGCATTATACTCTGCTCCAAGTTGAGCAGTGTGCCTAGACTTACCTGTGCTTAGGCAGCACAGAGTGAACAGCACAGTACACTTGCAATATCTCTCCTCAGCTTTATTAACACCAAACTTGAGCCTTCTGGTGACTCCCACAGCCCCTTTTCAGGCGGTGTACTTTCTCCTACTCAGTGTTCTCCAAACTGTGCCTGACCCGTCAAACTGTGCTCAGCCACTCTTGGGATCTTTTAGTACTGAGTTCTTCTGATTAACTGGACATTTTGTATAAAAGCTGTTTTAAATACATTGTCTTTTCATCTGATTTAATATCCCTTTGTGCTAGTACCATGAGGTTAACAGTGGGAATATTCTTATTATCTTCCTAGTGCTACTCATTATTTTCTCTACCTCTGTTTTGTCACTTTTTAGGTGACTTTTCTTTTGAAAAGTGATAGTGCCAGTCTTCGTCATTTCTTCTCCTAGATATCTACCATTTCTTCACTTCTATTGTCCATCTGACCTACCTGAGTATTTCTTTTATATTGCCCCAACATCCCTTTCATATATTAAAAAGCATCACAGTTATACTGTGGATTTCATGAAACCCAGAGAACATTCTCCTGAGTACAACAGTTAATGGGAAAACCTCACTGTGTCCTGACTACAGGATTTTTTTCTCCTCTAGGTGTATGGTTGGCTATGTTAATGCCAGTTTATCAGTATTTCTGGTGTCTGACTTTGAAAACCGTTCAGAGCCAACATCAAATGGAAGTGAATTCTCTGGTTCACCATTAAAATACTGCAGGTAAGTATCTGATTAAAATACCTCTCTGCTTTAAGACATTGTAGGGGAGAAGCATCATGATAAATTTGGGGTTGGCACTAATTTTCAGAACTTAAAAACCAGTAATTGAAAGAATTAACTGTGATATTCAGGGACATGCTTATGGTACTTCTTGGCTGTTACCTGCATGATTCCCTCCTTAGATACAGGAGAAGTCAAAAAGAAGATAGCTGACAGGTGTTCCAAGTGCAGGATTTCTATGGTGTCATGACTTGAATCAGACACAATCATCATGTAGCAATGTAGTATCAAAGGGCCAGTAATAGGTGACTGGTTACTTGGGTACCAGTGAGATGAAACTGTAATCAGATTACATCCTAGCACATGCACAGGGAAGTCAAGGTTGCACAGAAATGACCACACTGAGTTATTTCAGAGGTCTGCCAGGCATAAACAGGGTCTGTCCTAAACTACCTTTATGAAACCTCAAATACAGCAATTCCTAATTGTTGAATGTCTATGTCATTGCTTACAGGTTTAATTCTTAATAACATTCATATACTTATGGTTTGAATCAAAATAAAATGAGCAGTTAATTATCTGTATGTCATTGTCCTCAGCCAACAGAGTGGAGAACTAGCAGCCTGAGACTAGCCTGTAATGTCAGATTTGCACCTGATTGATTTTAATGATCCAAAGCATCAAGGATCTATGTAAAGGACTTAAATGGGGTCCCAACCAAAAATACCAAACAACAAATACAGCTACCATTTTTTTATTGCAAAATTGTTTACAAGCATGAGTCCTGGCAGCTGCAGATACGCTTAGACCCAGTATTTTTCACTGTGAGGAATTAAAATATCCTTTCATGAGTGCCTAAAGAACAAAAGATACTCTGTGATACAGCAAAAGTCAGTGATACTTTGTGATACCATCACATTTTTTTTTAGTAAGAAGCTTGAGTGGTATAGCATAATGAACTGGGAAGGGGGTAGCATTGATGCTTTTGTTTATCTAACTGATATTTAAGACTGATGCAGCTTATTTGGAAGAAAGAACATCCTAATGTTGAATCCACACACAGCATTTTCTGTGGAGCATTACAACTTTGAGGATACTCCATTCCATATTGTTTGCCATAGCACCATTTAATAATGTTTTGTAATTCTGATCATTCTCTTCCCCCTGTGTAATTCCTTTCTTCCCTTTAATTCCTTTCTTCCCCAACTTTAAGCGTGAGGTTTCTGCTACTTAAAGCCGATGGTGGAAATCCCATCATAAAAAAAGTTGAACCCTCCGTATGCCATAAACAGAACACCTATTAAAATTGGTGCCATAAATCTCCAGAAGATAAATCTGTTCTTTTGGAGGACGCTGAATTGTTATGTACATATACCCTTGAAAGAAAATTAACATCTTACTTTCTTTAGCTGAGTTTATCAGCTACTTAACCCACCTGAATTGTGCTAAAACATCAGTCATTTTAATTGCACTTCAAGCCAGATATTGATAATGAGGTAAGGAAATATGTTCTACTGTGCAATAGTGTAGGCATTTTTCCAGGAAGGCAGTCTGTCTGAACAATAACAGTGGCCATATTCAGTTAACTTCTGCTCATCTGGAACCCAGATGGTGCCATGTTATTCTGGCTGGTTATAAAAGGTATCCTAATTTCTTCACATGTAGTGCTTGGTTCCTAGCAAGTACAAAAAAGAGACATACTCTACTGACTTGGGACTTGGTCTGGGGACTTCTGTTTTCTGGATGCTTAGAATCTTGTAAAACATCCTAAACTATGAAGACAGAATGCTGCTTGCAGAAGGGAAGATCACCTCAGTTTTATGAACTTGCACTAGAGATGCAGCAATTCAAGATATGTTTGTTGCTGACTAAGATGTCAAGATGCAATTTATTTCATTTTGTATATCACCCTCTGCTATATAAGAAGGTGAACCTTCACAAAGAAATACAGGTTATCATAGAGGTGAAATGACTGTTTATTTCTTTTGCTCACCTGAGTTTTCTTTAGTTTCTTAAAACTAACTTAGAAATCAAGCTTAAGTGTATTATTTACTATGGTATTTTCAATATCTTTTGTAGTGGGTTTTCTGTACCATCTAGGAAACAGATTAAGGAGAAAAAATATTTTTACACTACTTTTAAATCAAGTTTCTGAAATAGTATTTTGAAATTGCCATACTACTAGTAGAAATGGACTCCAGAATGTGTGATTTAGACAAATAAATGGTTTGTTAATGTAATTTTGGAGTCTTCCTGCATCTAGCTTTCCCAATAGATAGTTATGTTATTGAGATCTGAAGTCTTTAAAGAAACATTCTGTGAGACAAGACACTACATCCCTTTCTTACACAGCCCTTGCCCTGTTGGCATACCAAGAGGTGCCTTTCTGGCTCCGCTAAAGTCAGGATGCTATACACCAGGGATAGCCAGCTAATTGACCAAAGGCCAAATGGAGCCCATAAGGCAGTTGCACATGGATTTTGGGAGGGCTGTTAGGCTGACAAAATTGGGAACATTTATGGTTTTAAAATGAACTTGTAGTGGGAAAAAAGTGGCCCTCAGAACAACAGAGCATTCCACCCTGCTCCATGTTCTGAGGAGGTGCCTTCATTGTGCTATGAAGGGAGATGCTGTAGGGCCAAACTGCCAGTGCTGAGCACCCAGCATCCTCTGTATTTGCTTCAGCAGTTTTGCTTCATACAGGTACTGGCCTGGTCCTTTGCACTAAATTTCCATTAGCAGCTGGAGCACAAAGTGCACTCTTGGAGTTCATCTTACTGTTAGGCTTCATCTGACAGTAAACCCTTTTGGGTGAACCGAAGTGTGGCAGGTGGAGGTAATCTGGACACTTGCTTCAAAAGCATGCACCTGATCTGAAATTAAACACTAGTGTAGGCTCAGCATTAGAATCAAGCAGCGTTGTGGTAACTTGTACAGTCTGAACTGAGATAATTCTGGTGCAGAAAATGCAGTGATCAAGAGCAGCTGGGTTTTGGTTTTGCCTTCCTCCCAGGTAGCAGGGCAGGATCTTGCTAACTACTGTCCTCTGCTTGTCTTTCAGATACAGGGACTACCGAGACCCTCCTCACTCCCCAGTGCCCTACGGTTACACACTGCAGTTCTGGCATGTCTTAGCAGCGCGATTGGCTTTCATTATTGTATTTGAGGTCAGTGGCCATTCAGGTGGCAAAACAAAACCAACAAAATGAAACAAATTTCCCTTTGAAGCTTTTTTGTTGGGCTGATCTACGATGACAGCTGTTGAGCTTTTGTGTTAGTTTCTGCTACTTATATTGTGCTTCATATTCTTAGATCTCTTTTCTGAACAGTCACAGGTATTTAGGTTCTAAGAAGAAGAGGAATGCAGTGCTTTGAAAACTGTAACAGTGACTTGCAAAAAGGGGCAATAAATTAAGCTTTTATTTGCTTTCTGAGGTCTGGCATTCATAACCTGTCTAGGCTGGAAAGCCTTATGCTGACTCAGTGAGTGAGGAAGGGGTGAAGGAACATGAGAAGAAAAGATGAAATATGAACAACTGAAAAATAAAGATAGTTTAAGTTACAATATTTACACATCTAGCTTTTTCTCTACTTTTTTAATACCATTCATTTCCCCAGAATGATTAACATCACAAAGATGATGATGATGAAAAGAATTCAATACCTTTGGCAATGTTTATAATATTAGTACTTACTGTCAGGATCTCAGAAATCTTTAAGACAAACCAGAGAAGATAATACTAACTTCACATGACTGGTATACCCATGGTGATTTTCAAAAAGAGAGACAGGAGGGTAGTTAAATAGGATGAGATCATTTACAAAACAAAATGTGCCTCTTAAGCCTGAATTTCAGGTGCCTGAATATCCCTGCCAGAAACCAGGGGCTCAGCATCTCTCCAGAACAAGCAGTTTGAAATGCCTTTTACACTGTGAAGAAGGCAACAGGGAACAAATGATTTTTAAAAACTCTTTGCTCAATCCTCTGCTCTGAAATCGTAACAACAGGACATCCAACACAGATACGGAAGATGTAATCATCATAAATTATTGGCATAATGTTCATAAGCGCATACTGCATTTCTGGCTCACAGTACTGTGCAAATTCATTCTGAACTGAGCTTTTGAAGCACCTCTTTGGATCACAGAACAGAAGCATTTGAATTAGAGGAAAGGTGAAGGGGAAACATCCTCTAGATGATTTCTTGTTGTAGGGATGTCTTGGTGGCTCTGCAGTGAATTCCCCAATTGTCATTTTCAGCCCTTCCCAGACGAAGTGAGAATATAGCACTGTAGGTTGGTCTCTCTCCTTCCTCTACACTGGGCTGCCTCATTAGAGGTTGGTCCTAAGGAGATCTTCCATCATCTCTGCTGCATTGTGGGAAACATTAATGGGAAAAAAGAAAGAAAGATTTGATAGAGGGCTGCTGGGCTTATCTCTTCTTCGTTTCTTGAGCTGTCAGTACTGAGAGCCAGGGTACCTGTCTTGAAAAGGGACTACAAGAATGACCTTGGCAGGTCACCCTTGCTTCTTGATACACACTTGGCATAAAGGCAGCATGGCATAAGGGCAAAGATAACTAAGGCAAGAAAAATCAGCCCTGCTCAAGTCTCAGTGCCCAGCCAAACATGCAACCTGCTGTGGAATAGTTTTCTGTCTGCCCAATACTTGCACAAGAGATACGACTTTGCTTTGCCCCAACCAAAGCCATAGGCTGGCTCACAGCTGTCTCCCTCAAAAGGGGCCCCTCTGTTTATTGGCACTGGAAACTGTTTCCTTAACTATGTCTACAAAATCAAAAAGATAATTGCAGCAGAAACCACAACTGTCTTTCTCTGTGGAAAACACTAATGGGTGTATTGTGATTGCTACAGCAAGTACAGTAAAAGATTAAACTAAGAGATAAGTGATTCAAGGTAGGTTTTTTCATAAATAAAGTAACTGTCTAAACTCAGACATCTTTTTGGCACTGTGGGTGTGGTTATTTTGGCTATCTTGACCTCCCTCAAAGACAAACAAATGTATTTCCTGTCACTGCAAAAGGAATTATTTGTCCAGCATAAACTGACAGAAGAGGCTTTTTTTAGGTTTGGAAAAAAACCCTAGCAATTAAAGTATTGTGAATTTATTTCTCATGAGTGAAGAATACAAGGGAAAACATTACATTCTCTTTTCAGTGGCATTCGAAGGAAGTGTTCTGCTTGGAGAAGAAGAAATACCTTTATTTCTCCAATCTAGAATGAGTGTCCTTTCTGAGATGGGAGATTTTTCTGTTTCTCTGCTCCTCCTCATCCTCTGGAGTGAGTAAATCTCCAAGCAGGATCTTTGATTAAACAAAAAAAGACACTCAAGCAATCCTCCTCCATCACACTCAAGCTTTGACATGGCATGACTAAAACATGAGGGACAAAGGATCAGTTACCTTGTATTTAATTGTGATGTTTAGTAAATGGGAATATGTCTTTGGATGAGAGACACAGTATAAGAAAAAATGTTTTGTTTTGCATTTGCATTCATTGGTTCCATTATAAATTTAGAAGCCAAAAGCCAAATATAATTTTATCATTTTATTGAAATAAGAATAACCAAAACAGTGCTGGGTACGCCGAGGAGTCTCTGCTCTGCCACCGATGCAAACCATGTAAACAAACCCACCCCCTTTATAGTCTTTCCTAATACATATTCATAAGATGGGTGTGTTTAGTCCATGCAAGTGTAGTGGAGTTTCTTGAATCTTCTCAGACCCCCTGGTGTAAACAAGGGTCTTCCTTGTATTTTTCCATCAAAACAAGGGTCTGTCTGGTACTTTTCTATTCTCCCTTTGTCCATGCGCAGTAATAGTCTTTACAAAAACAAACTTCAAAGCAATTTTAGTGACAAAACTGCGGCTACTTTCCATTTAACATACATACATTACAAAATATTTACAACACATACATTTATATTAAAGGTCAATATATTTTATAACACGAATCATCATCACATTTATTACAGTTCCAATATTCATGCAAGGGTTTTCTGGCAACAGGAAAGTATTCTATCATTTGATTCTCCTCTTCCTGCAGAGCAATCCACTAATACCAGGCCCTGCCCAAACAATCTTACAGCAAATCATGACCTCAGGGGTTTGAACAGATAGGTCATACAGCAGTTCTGAGGCCTTATTTGAACCCGGATGCTCATAACTTTAGCTGCAATCCATACTCCACTGACGGGCTGGAGTTTTTTTGGGGAAAAAACATCATGGTTTGGTTTCTTCAAATTTAGTAATGGCTTTAGTTCTAACACAGCATCTTTTTGTGAATTGGAAGAAGAGGGTTTTTCAGATGATATGGAAAGTACTTGTTTTTTTCCTAACATCTTAATTTTTCATCCCTTTTATGTTTTCACAGCACCTTGTCTTTTGCATAAAGCACCTGATTTCCTACTTAATCCCAGATCTCCCAAAAGATCTCAGAGATCGGATGAGGAGGGAAAAGTACCTGATCCAGGAAATGATGTATGAAGCTGAACTAGAACGTCTACAGAAAGAGCGGAAGGAAAGGAAGAAAAATGGAAAATCTTATCACAATGAGTGGCCATGATGGGGTGAGGAAGAAACTGCTTAAAAGAAGATAGGAATTCTGTTTATAAAAATTTCCTGGTTTTCTACAGTGGAGAGTGCACTGAGAGGAATAGTCGGTCAATGTTGTGTGCACTTAGCACATGTGCACCCATGTTTAATACGGTGCTTATTGTTATAAGCCTTTTGAAATGAGAGGTCTTGCAAGGCTTAGTCTTCTCCAGAGCTAAGGTCAGCATGAGCAGATCAGACCAATGCTTAAGACTCTGCACTCTTTCCAGGAAGCTCCCAGGCCCTGACTTAAATTCAGGGCCCTGAACTTCAAAGCAGTTATATATCTTACAATGCTTTACAGCATTCAGTGATCTTATGGCTCGTTCTCATGACCAAGTTGCTATTCCATAATCAGTGACTGCGCATTGGCAACATGGCAGTACTTGTCCATGTGTGTGGACACCACCTGCAGCACATGCATGGCAAAGTTGCCCTCTTCCACAGTGGACTAAGCTGTGTTAGCTTGTGTTTACCATGAGTTAAGGTCCTATATGTGGAACATTTCCATTACTCCCAACAATACTGAAGTAATTTTTAGGAGAAGATGCTTGATCGTGAGTCTAATCAGCCGGTCTAACAATGCTGAAAAATTTAAGTGTGCAGAAATGCTGACAGATAGACAAGCATCTAAATGTGTCCAGAGGTATCTAACTGTAGGGTCATTTATTTAGAAATTATACTGTGAAAATTTGGTAATATGTTCTAAAGATCTGAACAGTGCCTTTTCAGCTGTAGGACTGTCTGGTCTCTAAAGGAAACAAATGAGGCTAGGGCATCTCGCCCAGAACTGCCTGTGAATTTGTATTGCAAGATAAGATTGAGGCCTTGTCAGGAATTAGGGTGTATGATACACATAACAGAAGATAGAGTGTGTCTTAAAGACCTATCTATTTACTTATATAAGTAAAACAAAAAAACCCAAACAACAGATGAACAACGTCAGCAGAGCAAAGGAACACAGTCATCCAGGATCTCTACATTTACATTGTTCTTCCTTCCATTATATATGAAAGGGTGGAGGGGAAAAATAAAAGAACATACTGTAGTATAATATACTACATCTTGAAATAGCTTGAAATCCTTCATGCAGAGCAGTTCTACACAGGCTAGAGAATTAGATTTGGGTGAAATGGGCCACTGTCTATATCCTTTTGCAAATTCTTCAACACTAAGAAATTAAAAATTTCCCAGATCGTTAACCCAAATAGTGGCATTGTAGGTCTGAGGACTGCAAAAGTGTTGGGTGGAGCAACATGAATCAAAATGCATAGTGTTGCAAAAGTTCTACCACCTCTTGCAGAACGTGCAGTGGCATCATCAGCTACAACACGAAGAAGGAAGTTCAAAAGCCAAGACTGTAAGAAGCCAAGTGGAAGCAAGCCTATGTCCTGGAGATGATCGAGCTAGATACAAAATGGAGCTAATCCATTTGTCTAGTCTTTTCCCAAATAACTGGAGCTCCATAGAAATGATAGTTTTCTCAGAAATCTTAAGGAATTGTGACCTTGTTATTTTGAAGATTTTTAAGAAGGAGGAAAATTCAGCAAATTGTTTCTACAAGTTGTCCTGGAAATCATTTGATAGAAGGGCTAGAATTTGCCCTTCTGGATAGACCACACAGTGCAAGACCCTATGGATAGATGCCTCAAGCTCCACAAGACATCAGGACCACTTGCACCAGGACCCTATCTTGCCAAATTAGATCTATTAACTTCTTTCCACTGCAATAGAGAACTGTGCTATTTCCGGGGGGGGGGTGGTGGTGGTGTAAGTTTTAATGAAACATAATATGGCTTGAAGAAGGAGAGGGGTGGAAGAAAATGTATGCACCCTTTTCTCTGTGGCTGCTGCCTGCCTATACCTCACAGCAAAGAACCACCTCCAGTAATGACCCATCATCCTACATGAAGAGGATAAATGGCACAACAGCTCCCATTTATCAGGTGCTTCTGTCCCTAGCCTGAAGGTCCCATGAGGCAAAATAAGCACTGAAGGGATTTCAGGATTAATCTGTTCTCTGTTGACATGGTGCCAAACTGAGTGGGGAGCACAAGTGGGGTGTATTCCTGCCTAACGAGGGAGTGAACTTGTTCATCTTAGCTTCCGATTACAGCAGCTGTGGACACATCCCATGTGGGCAATGGAGAAATGGGGTTATTTCTGTCTCTGTAAATAGGGAGTGGGGATTAGGCAATGTCACCCTCCGATACACACATGCCAGATGGGTTAGTATTTACCATCCACCACCTACAGGTGTGTGCAGTGCACTTGCAGTCTGTGGACTCTCGAGCAGGATTGCTGTGCAAAATCTCATTCAGACCAAATTCACATGAGCGATTGGATTAGTTTGCATACCCTCTGTTTAATAGCTAAAACAACAGATGACAAGAGCTTAGAAACTGTTTGCTAAGTAGTAAAGTGAGACATGAGTCATGCATAAAATCAGTGTCAACCATATGAGTGTGATCCTCTGCAAACTCCACGGTAAGATATAGCTTTGTCAACACAGATCTCAGTAGCTTCCGAGAACTGAACTGAAGCCTGGTAGAATATAAACAGGCTTCCTCTCCAGAGGAATGTGCCAAAACAAATAAAGTGCAGCAGAAATACAATAGATAATAATTGCTCTTGAGAATAGTTTTCGACCTAGCTACATTATGATCAGTTTTCATGACCATACATTGCTAGAAGTTGTGTCCTGTTCTGCTCTCAATGAGAACACGAGTTGGCTGTTTACCAAGCTTGTGCTGAGTATGATGTTGAAAGGGGCTCTAACCTCCCTGGCAGATCCTGAGTACAATTCTGTCACTTGATATTGACCAGTCAACCTACTGAGGTTTCTGCACTGCTGGTCTGCTGTGAATAGATTTCCTTTGAGTCCTTCAGAGCTGTATAGCAGAACACTCAGGAAAGAGGACCCCTTTTTATTTAATTAGTTAGGAAAATATAATACAAATAATAGGCTAATAACAATGGGATTTTAATGGTCTCTAGATAGCAAATTTATGCCATTCCCTTCTTTCTGATCTGATGATGGGTTTTGTTTAAACCTCCAGGTGACCATCCTATATGTTGTTTACTTATTACAGCTCCACAAGAGCACTACCTTCAAGGGAATGAGAAAAAAATGCAACCTCAATGCATGCCACAGACATTTTACATAGCAAGCAGGACAGTACACATCAAAGGATTTACTGTGAAATCATCTTGCAATCAGCATAGGATTGATCTCCGTAGACCACTCTTGACAGCAAGCATGTACTCCATGAGCAGTTACACACCAGTTTTTAAAACCAAGGAAATCAAAATTGTATATTGGGACTGTTTTTCAGCCTGTTTGCTACGTTTTTTGCATTCTGTCCCATGTTGGTTTTACAGATCTTAGAATAAAAAATGTAAATTAACAACCTGGATACTTTAACAAAAGAAAAATCCTAGGTATAGAACATCATCTGTGTTCAAGCCACCAAATAATACAACAGAAATCGTGTTTACAAATCAGTTCCTTTTTATTTTAAATCTTTCTGAGGGGATTTATGTTATTTACCATATATATATTATATATATATATATATATAAAGTATATAGAGATTGTTTATTTGTAAATAGAAATATCCTATGGAGAAGAATGTCAAGTTTTCACACTTTAAAAAATATCATCAACATAAAGCCATGTTTAATGCTTGTATAATGTGACGCAATAAACTTTAAAATAAATTATGCATATGAGATATTTGTTGTTTGACATTCATGAGTTATTTTCTGGTTACCTTATTTGTTCAGCAAGCAGACAGACCAGTCAGGTGGAAGTACATTTAAATGCAGACCAAAAAGGGCCAAAATCTGTCACTACTTTCTCTCTGTGGATCCTTTGTGTATTCACATAGTCCAATATTGTTCCTGCTGTGGTTCTAGTTCTTTTTCAAATGTTCCTTCTTGTTTTGTCTCTTGACCCTGCTAAGATGCTTCATGTAATTTGGACAGTGTGGAGTGCTCCCACTCCCATAGAATTAATCAGTTTTGAGCATCCTGCATTTCTTGGTCAGGTGAGCTTTTAGCTGGAAGAGATGAAGGATCAGGGTGCAGAAGTATGATGGAGACACCAAGAATTATCTTGCTGTCTTTACACAGACAAGGCCCTGACTGAGAGTCCAACTAGCAGAGGACAGTATATGATCCCAGAGAAAATATTATTCAAACAATTAATTGCTTTAAGTAGTGATGCCAATTAAAACAAAGCATATAGAAAAAAGTAAAGCAGAAAGAATGACTTTGTAGCTCTGCAGCAACCATGGGAGGTTAGTTAGAAAAAAATGGGGTAGCTACGGGAGTCATCTGCAAGATATTCTCCCCCGTGAAAACTCATTTTGATGTTGCGATTGTGGACCAATAAATATCACCTGGCCCAAACTTTCACTTCATACCAAAATTAGAGTTAAATGACTGCTCAGTGCTCAAATAGTGACTGCAAGCAATAAGGGAAGATAAGTTCCCCTTTGATGTGTTTTCCCTGTTTTAAACGTGTTTTAAAGTGAATTCAAAGCACTGGAAAAAAACCCTCTGTGGTGCTACATTTTTAAACTGTGGTAACTATGAAGATTAGTCTTCACGAACAAAACAGGTAGAAGTCATAGATCATCCAAGAAAGTTTAAGGCAGTATCAATTATGTGCAAACAGCCGTCTCAGCAGAGTGGTGCAATGAAGGCCATGCTGATGCTGTTTAACACAGCAGTGATCAGTCATCCTTCCTAAAAACACTCAGGTGGGAGTTCAGCATTTGTGTTGGGAGAGCGGTAGCCATGCCAGTGGGCACACAGCTCTGTCCTCTCTGTCCACAGCTTACTCTGTGCCATAAAGCACAGGCACACAGAGGCACACCAGTCCAGTCAGCACTCTGTAGAAGTGTGGAGATAACAGTACTTACCCTTTTTCAGATCTGTGGTCTGAAAGTACCTGGTAAGTAAAAACTGTTATATTCCAAGGCTTAAGAACTATTCCATAACATAAAATGCAGTATCTTTTTCTGTGTCATGAAGACAAGGCACAAGGCTGAATGAGCTGCACTTCTGAGACTTAAGAAGCATAGCCAGCTCATTCAGTCAGTGGACTAGTGTCTGAGTGACGAGAATAGTCCCAGAACAGAAGCCCCTGTCCTGAATCCCAGAAGACTTTATTGAGGATGTTATTTTTTGTCTCGGATCTTAGATATAGGGACATAAGACATAACTCATGGGATCTATCCCACTCGCTCACTGCTCTTCCACACAGTGGCTTTAGATACTTAACCTGGTCACAGAGCTGCAGTAGCAGAATGGGAGACAAGGGGCTGGCCCTGAACGCTGCATTGGATCATGCAAACCAGTCCTTCAGGAGGCCAAGGGGAAACCTGCCTCCATCATGTAGTTTTGCACTGGGTTAGCCAATGGCAATGTACCCCTGGTGGCAACCCGTACAGTGTCTGTCTGGCCTGTGCTCCTCTAGTAGAGGTCTAGCCCATTTTTTCTTCTTCATGTTTTCTCATCCTGTCAGTCCATCTTATGCAGTAGATCATCAAGGGCCCTCTGTCTCAGGGGCACGGAGTAAATTGATTTAGATGCTAAAGGGCCCCAGTCAAGGTAGATAAACTAGCACTATGTCATATGCCAAGTTACAGCAGCTCAGCACCAGGCACAAATGCATAACTTTTAGAAAGCATTTAAGACACACAGTCAGTTTTTCATTTGATTCTCAGGCATGACTGCCTTCCTTATAAGCTTCACAGCTCAACTCTCCTGCAATGGCTTTTATTTTCCACCTTGATTCTGCTGCTATAGAGGTGTTTTAAACACCCACACAGAGCCAAAAAGTCTGCTGTACAAAAACAGCACAGTGGGTCAGAGACTGTTCCCTGCTGCACCAGAAAGCACACAGGAGAAGGAAGCAATGGGGGCTTTCACCCTCCCAAACCACCAGTACAATGCATGGTTCGGAGTAGCCACGAAGTTCAGCTTTTCTTGGCAGCCTAGCCAGAGGATAAGCCATACCGTGCCCTGCAGCCCTGGAGAAGCCTTCACCAAATGGTCCTCTGTGATCCCTTCCCCATCCTGTGGCATTGCACACTGGCCTCTGCCTGCCTGCCAAAACACACAACATGCTCTTGCCTGACTTGGACCAACCTTGAACGTGAATCCCCCGAGTGACAACAGGGACTGCATGAACACAAATGGCTACATGAGGTTTCAGCTCACTGCTCCACAGGTAACACCAGTGGCAGACACAGTCTTCCCTCTTGCCCAGTACAGCAAAGAGGGCCCTCTTCCTGCATTAACATCTCTGCTATGCTATGCCCAGCCCGGTGCAAGAACAATCCTAGGCCAGCATGCTGGGCATGAAGTGGAAGACTTAGGTCTGCTGTACAGCATTGAATAAAAAGACCAAATAACTAAATTCCTTCATGAGGACCAGCTCTGTAAGGGCAAGACAGGCTAAAGAGGGACACAGGACATCAAGGGAAGGATATTAATGACTTTTGCCTCTACTCATCACCAAAGACACTCTTGTAGCTTCCAGCAGTGAGCAGAGAGAAGGAGATGGAGGTAACAAGGGAACAAGTGGCTTAATAAAACCAAGCATATATGACAAAACCAGCAAAATAAATACACTCTCAGGACCAGTTCTACAAAGGGACCAGATGGCACAATACACCTCCTGTACTAAAAAAAGACCCACTGTTTCTTGCAATCTGATAAGGTCCTACAGACCTAATCTTTTCATACTTTCAACAACTTAAAAGAAAAAATTAAAAAAACAAAACAGAAAAACAGCCATGTCTGGGGGAACAGTGCTCTTAACAAATAAAAAATTTACTGTGGGAGTGAACTGCGATCAAAAGCAGATATTTTCCAGGACATTCAATCAGGCAAATATTTCACATAGAAACATTCCTTAAGCCCTGTCACCAAGATCCAGAGGGAGAGAGTGAGGAAGTGCAAGAAAGACCTGATTCCTTTCTTGACGAATGTCAAGGTCATGCAAGGGTGACAGTGCCATGAAGCTCAGTAGATGCCTGTCCATGACCCCAGCAGGGCTGGTAACTGACCCGGCAGAGGAATGTCAACAGTGCTTTACATGAACAAAACGGTCCCCGTGGGCTAACATGGCCCATGTCATATATAAAGACCATTGACTTTGTTCTTACTGCTTGCAACATCCATTTCAATGTGGCTGAAAGCTGGGTTGTCAGTTCCTTCAGCTGCCATGGTAAATGGTTTCCAGTTCAACACTTCCACTTTCTCTGGCTAAAAAACAAAAGACAAAATCCAGGCTGTGAAGTGGAAGAAACAGTCTTCCTCTCTTTGATCTGCATGCAAGCAGAGTCAGGCCCGACATACAGGATGTCTTGCAGGAAAACTGTTGACAGAACATAGTTATTCACGGCAGGAGCTGGTATTTTTCTAGGGGCATGGAAAGTTTCTTATTGCATAAGGTGCTGGTTGTGCAAAATGTACCTGTGCTGCAAAGTGTCTAACATATTTTTGGGTGTGCAAATTTGTAATTGCTGTTTTCATGTCTAGCAATCTGTCACCACCAGGTCTTTGAGCTATTGCCTCCTAACCCTTGGTCCTTGCCCCATCTTTGACATGAAGAGATTAACATGCATCATTGCTTTGATGTTCCATCTTTGTTGAACGTAATGAGATGCTGAGCTTTTCATGTGCATGAAGCTGCTCATCTTCCCCTGATTTTTTTTTTCTCAACAACTTTCTGCATTATTTGTAATGCCAACTACTTGTTATCCAGCTCCTAGCTCTGTAACCAGACAGACACTTGTTTCTGATTCTGAGCATAAAATAGCATGGCTGTGGAGGTTAGCTTCTATGTGGGTGGGTTTTTTTTTTTCAGAAGACTCCAGGGATTAAATTCACAGATAGTGAAAACGGATGTTGGCCCGTTAAAGGCAGTGAATTACAATAACTGGTTTCCAGTCCTGGGCAAACAGCATTACAACAGCATTAAAAAAATCCCTTTGTTTCCCTGGTATTCACATCCAGAAGCTGAAATACATGAGATCATACTAAAAGGAGTCATAGAGGCAAAACATTTTGCAAACAGGAGCATCTCAAACATATGATCATTGCCTGTACTGAAGCACTCGAAAAGCACTGAACAAAGCTGAGATTGAATGTTCAGCACCCTGCTGATATTGATTGAAAAGTGGTCTATAGTTTATTTAAAAAAAAACAACTTTCCCCTACATTCTCTAAGGGATGTTATTACCATATAATGTCTCCTTATATCTTAGAGACAGAGCTAGGAAACAGATACACCGACTAGAAATGTTTTCTCTCAAACAGCAGATGAAGTTGAAAAAAAATCCAGACTTTAGAGAATGCATGTTTACAAACAAAGGAAGCTTTGCTGAGCCCAAAGCGTGCCTTGGGCCAGCTTCCAAAAGACTAGTGAGGGAGTATTTTGGCAGAAACCCCAAGAACAACTGTCCCTTGTCTCAGCTGCTGCTCTGCTGTTCATTGAAGTCAAGCTGTGGCCAAACATAGCTTCCCTGCCTATGCCAGTTACTTAACTCCTACCCACCCTGGGCTCTGCTACTGCCTTAAAGCAAATATATCAGGCTGTATCAGGTGTTATTCATCCTGGTGGGAAAAAATAAGACAGGTATTCTTTGCTTTTGTCCCCAGGAGGAAAGATTGATTTAAATCAGAGATGCATAATTACACTTACTGTCTCAGATTTAGGACGTGAGAAGTTGGACAGGAAATCTTCCTTGGTCAGCAGGAATTTACGATCTGTGTTCTGCTTTAGTCCTCCTGCAAAATAGGCAGGTTTCAATCAGCCAGGTTTCCACATGCAGATGATAAGTCAGAGACCAGCTATGGGCAACAGGCCAGGTGAGCAGGACAAAGTCATGCAGCAAAAGCCATCAAGCAATCACAGGCCTTAGGGATCATTTCTTCACAATGACATATATGCTGCACCACTCAAAATGATACCTTAAGGTCTATTTGAAATGCCTTAGCCATTTCCCAGAGTTTACTACATCCTCTTCAGATTTCTCACTGTGTAAAAAGCCTGAGACAATCATCAGAAAACAGTGAATCTCATACCATGGTATCTGGGACTCTGCCAGTCCAGGAGCTGTGGTATCAACTGCTGCCCTGAAGCCTGAGCCTGTCCTCAGCTTCCTATTAGCAAGACTCCAGTCTCTAGAGTCACCAGCAATTTTTATAGTGAGTTATTTAAGGGCAGCCCCAAGGTGGGGGTATGAGGGTTAATGGGAGGTTTAGGCAGTTTTAAGTCATGGAAGGTGAACTATTCATTTGTGGGAATGTGTGTGGGAAAGAAAGGAGATGCAGGTGCTGGGAATTAGCTTTGATTGCCACCTCAGGCTTAAATGGGATCTTGCTCCACAAAAAGCATGGTGACAGTATGGTTGGGTTAGTTCTTTAGGGTTTATGTTTCTTGGG